CACTGATATGAAATTTACGAGTGGGATTTTAATTGAGAAATGAAGACCTTTAGAAAATAGGTAAGTTACGACATTATATTAAATTCAATTTAGTTGATAAATCTTTAATGAATAATATAGGATCCTAATTTCCATTAAGTACATGATTTAAGCTTCTCAGAATCGAAGTTGTATTGAGAATGGAGTAATTTAAAAAAAAGACAATTTGATAGTTGATTACAATACTCTTCTTTAAATGATAATCAAAATTGTTCTATTGTGTTCTGCATTAAAGAGATGCGATAGCAACCAGAAGAAGTTTTCAGTCTTATTGAGATTTTAAATGATAAATGAAAATAAACGTTGATTGTAATTCTCATATTATGAATATTTTAAATTTTGAGAAAATACATGTTGAATCTTATAAGAGTCTTAGAAATCTAGTGGATATTTTGAACAAAAACCTAAGAGGTTTAAACTTAATGAAATTAGAGGCTAATGAACTAACACATCAATTCCTTATAAATATTGTCATTCAAAAGTTAGGTAATGAAACAAGAAAACAATATGAAATGAGTTTAACATCGACTGAATTACCTACCAAATTTGGTAGGTTCATGGAATATCTAGAAAAACGATCCTAAATGTTAGAAAATTTACATGGAGTGTGATTACCGTCACTAAAAACTAAAACTTCTTATACAAATAAAACCAGAAATTTTCTGTTAAATTCTAACAGCAATTCCTGCATATTGTGTAAAATGTCATATTTGGTATATAGTTGTTCTTTATTTTTAAAAATGACTCCATTACAAAGATTTAACATTGCTAAAAAAACATGCACTTTGTATAAACTGTTTAAGTGATAAACATAAGCTTGCATCATGTAAATCCAAATATTCTTGTTGTTTATGCCAAGGAAAGTACACTTATCTATTGTGTAGGTCTGAAACTAAAAATTCCTTGTGTGAAAAAATTTCGCCAGATCTAGATATTTCGTGAAGTTCGCAATCAGAAAATCTTCCCATTTTAGAGACTGCAGATGATCGTAATACGCAAAGCAAAAAGAACCCTAGTTCGCCCGATGTAATAAAAAATCTAAACTTAACTGAAGAGGTAAAGACTTTTGGATCTTTAAATAAAATGTCAAACAAAACAGTTTTGCTTTCTAAAGCCATGGTTAAGGTTTGGTCACCGATTCGAAGTGATTATATTAGCGGCAGAGCGATACTGGACAGTGCATCTCAATCGCATATTTTATGACCTCTAGCAGTTCAGCTTTCTTCGCTTGGTCTTAACAAACATATAAGGTAAATATTCCTGTTAATGGGTTTAAGTGGAAATACGATGAATATTAAATGGAAATTAAATGACGTTCTCATTAGTATAATGACCCTCTTTTAATCAGTAATAGACTTTTCGTTGTACCTAAATAACAGACTGTACCTGCTCCGAATAAATGTAGAAAATCTGAAAATACCTGAGCTTAACAGATCCAGTTTTTGACAAGCCAGGAAGGATCGATCTGACATTGGATGCTGAACGTTTTTTTGAATTAGTGAAGGAGCGAAAGATTCGATTATCTAGTACTTTACTTTTCCAAGATTCAATCTTTGGATTCATTGCTAGTGGATTTGTTGAAATTGAAAATTCAACAAATCCACTAGCAACGAATCCAAAGATTTGTTGAAATCCAAAGATTTGTGGATTTGTTGAAATTGAGTTTTGCGAATTGCATTATCAGAAGACACATAGGACAAATGAGAGTGGGCGTTTCATAGTACAGATGCCTATTTGAGAAGAAGCACTTCATCAATTAGGTGATTCTCAAGAAACCTTGCTAATAAACATCTTAATCAGACGATTGATTAAAAGTTTAAATAAAAACCCAGACCTAAAAGGGCTTTATACCGATTTTATCAACGATTATGAAAGCTTAAATCATATGGAAAGGGTTGAAGAAGAAAATCCTCCACCCGTTATTTTCTACCTTCCTCACTATGAAATTTACAAACCTGAACAATCATCTACGAAACTGCGCATTGTGTTTAATGCATCAGCTCCTACTACTACAGGATTGAGTTTGAACGACATTTTACTCTCTGGAGAGATTAAAGAAGATAATTTTGATTTAATTGTTCAATTTCGTAAACATAAAAATAGCACTGGTCGCGACATTAAACAATGTTTAGACAGATTTTAAATCATTCATCGCAAAGGAATCTTCTATTATCTTTGGAAAGAGCATGAAGAGACTTACCTATTATTTTTAGATGAATACTGTAACGTTATGGGACTAAATGTGCTCCATTTCTAGCTATAAGAACTCTAAAACAGTTAGCTTTGGATGAACAGCAGAAATACCCTTTAGCTTCTGAAGTGATTCTTTCTGACATCTATATGGACGACATAGTTACAGGAGCCTCTGATTTTGAGTCTGCTATTCAATTAAAGAAACAACTAATAAAGATATTCAAAAGCTGTGGAATGGCTTTACACAAATGGTGATCTAACTCTAAGAGTGTATTACACACTTTAGTATCTAAGGAAGAGCTTCACTTTGATTGCACTGAATTTACGAAAACTCTTGGCATAATTTGGCAACCGGAATCCAATATCTTTACTTTTAAAATCACTTTTCAAGGCAAGTCATCTTTTACAAAAAGAAGAGATCTCCTTTCAGTCATTGCGCGGTTGTATGATCCTATTGGCTTTATCGGTCCAGTCATCTGTAAAGCAAAAATATTCCTTCAGAAACTACGGTCTTTAAAACTGAACTGGGACGATGAATTACCTGAACCATTTGCCAGTGAATGGAATCATTCATTTTAAAGTTAACTGGAATTGGAATCTTAAGATAGGAATATTTTCTCTGCATTCTACAACCAATAAAAGGGCTATTGTAGGTTTGTCCAATGCTTCAACATCTGCGTATAGAGCAGTGGTCTACTTAAATGCCACTCAAGATAACCCTTGTTTAAAATTACTGGCAAGCAGATCTCCAGTAGCTCCTTTAAGAACTTTATCTTTACCACACTTAGAACTCTCAGCTTGTCTTCTACTTGCTAAGCTTGTTAAAAAAAGTTCTGACTTTGCTAAATATAGACATTGAAAAGGTAACATTATATTCGGATTTGAAAATTGCATTAGCATGGATAAACACTTCGCCACGTCAACTCAAAACCTTTGTTGCAAATCGTGTTGTGAAAATTCAGTCGTTATTAGAAAACTTCGAGTGGAAACGTATCCGTTCTAAGGAGAATCCTGCTGATTTGGTTTCTCATGGAGTCAAGCCTAGTGAACTTTTATCTTCAGAATTATGGTTCAATGAACCTTTTAATCTTGACATGAATGTTATAGAAAAGGCTAGTTTGGATGTTAAGGACTATGAACGTTACGAATGCGACTTGAAAAAAATCTCCAGAAATTTCTCTTAGTATTACTTCTAGTGCTGATTTCATTAACTATTTTCTTTCTTTAAGTAGTAGTTTTGTTAAACTAACTCGTATTCTTAGTTTTATTTCCAACTGTTGACAAGGTAAGAGGTCATCAGGTCCTATTACTAGATGAATTTACATATGCCAGATAGCAATGGTAAGGCTACTAGAGCGAATAGTATTCAAGGAAGAAATTCAAGCCATTAGATGTGGTAAAATTATAAAGGATAGTCACTTAAGTGATTTAAATCCTTTCGTTGATGAAAATGGAATACTTAGAGTAGGTGGAAGATTAAATAAATCATCTTTATACTATGACCAAAAGCACCTCTTCTGCTGTCTAGGAATCATAACTTAACTACTATAATTACGCAATACTTCCATTTAAAAAATTTACATGTTGGTGCTCAGACTATGCTGTATTGTGTTCGACAAGAATTTGGCCACTAAATGGCAGAAACACTGCTCGTAATATATAGCACATAACTGCATTATCTGTTTTAAAAATAGACCTAAAATATCCCAACAACTTATGGCACCATTGCCGAAAGAAAGAGTTTCTGCGAGTCCCCTTTTTTCCGTAACTGGAATTGATTTATGCGGACCCTTTTACATAAAATATAAAAATCAACGAAGAGGTACCTTAAATAAGATATATGTTGTTATTTTTGTATTTTTAGTTACTCGAGCAATACATCTGGATTTTGTTACAGATCTAACATCGCAGGCTGTAACTGCAACATTAAAAAAGATTTTTCGCGCAACACGGCCTTAGCTCAACTATATATTCAGATAACGCTACCAACTTTGTCGGAGCCAACGCCGATTTGAAAGGGCTGACAAAATGTGGAATATCGAACTTACGTATTCTACCTATGAATGATTGAAGTAGCGAATTTACCTTATAATTACTTGTATTAATATTGCATATCCATTTTATTGTAAAATGTAGTAATTTGTTTGTTATTTGTTTAATAGATGTATTATTGCATTTAATTGTTTCTAACTGATATGTGTATCAAACTTTGAATTTCTTAAATAATTTATATTAGCTTTGAAATTAGTATTTTAGCGTTGGGCGGGATGTTGGCGCCTGATCGTCTGTGCTATGAGAAAGCTTTCGCCTCTAACTTAGTTGCCTAGCAACAAATCTTATAATGCGCACGCGTCAATATTGTTTCTTTTTGTAATTCTTTTTTATTAGCCTGTTCAATGAGAAATTTGTTGCTTGGATTTTTTAACAGCTGATAATTTTCTAATAGAATAAAAGATGGATTTAAAAGAAAATTAGTTTCGTTATTTCGTAGCTACAGTCCATAACAGCTGTAGTTCCTTTTCTTGAACATTTTATGCATACAAATCAATTATATTATCAGAAAATTTAATGATTATTTTTTCAAGTAAAGCTGTCCCTCCTTCTTTCCTCTCACACATGAAAAGATAAAGAGAGAGAGAGAGAGAGAGAGAAACAGACACACACAACACAAAGGAATTTCTGTGGTTAGCCCCACTTTAAAAACATAAAACTAAACCTCAGCTACAAAATTTAAAAATAATGACTCATAAAAAGTTAACAAAATACCTTGGTAGAATAATTTTTTCTTCTTCAGAGAGAGTGGCACAACTATTAAAGGACTGGAAGCTCACATTTGGAGGGAATCTGAATGGTGTTCGACCAAAATTAAATTCGCATTGTTGGAATGACATAAAACTAGCTGCAGCAAAAAATCCCGACCTAAGAAAATTTATTTACAATGAATTCAAATAAATAAATGCATAATTTAATAAAGTAAAAATATAATTTTTTATCATACAATATACAATTTTCCAACTTATCAGATTCATATTTATTCAAAAAGAAGGGACTAGTTTTATTCCCCCTGGGAAAATTGGGGAATTAAATGAAAATTTGTTACTCTATAAAGAACACAGCTGAAATCTAAAAATAAAGATAACACCAATATTAAAGAAAATATTTATCAGTACTTTTAAATTTATTAGTTAGATAATCTGTGTGAAGGTCCAGCTTATATGCTGCATGATTACTTTTACGAGTATTACACATCCTAGCTGCCAATTTCACATAAGCAAAATGCAGAATAAAGGATATAAAATGAGTTTTAAAAGAAAAACATCTAAATATTTTGAAATAATTAGAAGAGGGAGGACATTTGTCACACAAAAGGAAAATTAGACAAATTGAATTTATTTCAGCATATTTACTCTTAACTTTTTCAGTTTTGCTGAAAGGAATCTACTATTAAACTAAATAGACTTAACCAAAACAAGACACAAATACCTAATGTAGTTGGTCCTTAAATTAACCTAGCCAGTGATTCTCAACAGGCACATACAATATGGCTGAGCCAATAAAGACTCCTAAGCACTCTTTCTTGAAGTAAGTTGAGTTTCCTTTAAATACTTCTTCTAACTCACTTGAACTGTTATAACATTAAAATACACCTTACAAATGTTTTATTGTAGGATAGAAATGCAGCTCAGAATCCTGCAGGAAAAATAACAAAAGGTTTTGTTACTTCAAGTGGAAAAACTTTGGAAGCTAGTTATCTAGTAAGCATAAGAATTGCCAAAGACTCGGCAGGCACACACTATCCGAGAAAACCTTATAGTTCCGCTGCTAAATGAAACAACAGCTAATGAACTAAATAATATACCATTACCTAATGATACAGTAAGTCGGCAAATTCCATAAAAGAGACACTTACTCAAAAAATAAAACACAGTGAGTAAATCTCATTACAACTGGATAAAAATAATGATGTAATGAGCTTTATTCAATTACTAGTTTATATATGCTTTAAAGAAGATAAACGAATTACCAAAGAATTAAAATATTATAACTTAAATTTTGATAATTAAAATGGTAACCAATTTTAATTTTATATTTTTTATGTGTGCTTAGTTAATATAAATAGCCAATACATTATGCAAATGGCAATATATATATTTAATATTTCAACTGAGAAATTGATAAATAATCAGTGTAAAATGTAGTGGTGGTACTAAAGTTTTTCAGTTTTTGTTTAGATGGTATGAATTAGTCAAAAGATTGAGAACCGCTGGCCTAGATATTTAGAATTCTATTGTATGATTATATTCTTTTATAATGATATTAGCTAATATTTTTCACAGTGGATTTACAAACTCGAAGTATAAAAACTAATTAACTAATAGAAAAGTAATTATTACTTAGCTTACCTCGCACTTTGAAACAAATGTGTACATGGTGGCAGTGGATTTCCATTCAAATAAAATATGACACAGAGATTATTTAAATCTAATAAAGATCCTAAAACATCACCTACAGAAAAAGGACCAAAAAAAAAAAAAAAAGGTATATTTAGTTTGTAAAAGATATTTGAAAATACTCAGAAAATACATAAAAAATTACAGTTGTTATAATATTTAATGTAAATTCTTAAATATATGCTCAACAAATCTGTTTTAGGAAATAGATCACATAAATTTATAGTATGTAAATAAACAGCCCCACAAAATGTCCTTTTAAAATTTCAGTCAATTTTCTTGTGTATCTGTTAGCAGCTACAATCTTGAAATTTTAAATACAGACTCTAATGAGATCCTACCCATTGTTCTCATAATACATAAAGACCCACATATGGACTACAATAAATTTTATCTCAGATTCTACTGAAAATGGTGAATGTTTAAATATGGATTTATACTATGATCTATGCATCTTTATGCTGATATCTATCTATAATATATCTATTCATTAATTACAGCATGAAGCACAGCTTTTTAGCATAAAGGACTTGGACATTTTCATACGAGATCTAGATATGAAATATACATTATTACAGATTTTGCAATGCACCTGTATAAATGTTCAAGAAAGATTTCAGTACAATTTCACAGTCAATGTTCAGAGAAAAGAAAAGGTCATTGGCTTGGGCTCCTAAATGAAAAATAGCGACTCAATGAGAGTTACTCAAAGCTACCCAAGGTATTGGATTTGAATACAAAAAATGTAGCAAGTTTATCAGTTGTTGAGAGTAGTAATTAAATACTCTCATAAAATAAACCAACTGAATTTTCAGTACTAGTGGATATTGCAGGATGCTTTTGATCAAATGAGGAATAGAGCTTAGAAAGATAGCCATTGTATGCTTTAATTGAATATTCTATTTGGCAACAGCAGTCGCTAAATATTTCTTTTTGACCTCAGGATTCTATAACAGCCAATAATAGAATAATTTCTTGATTGTAATCATGTTTATGAAAATTATTTGCAGTTGGAAAATACTCAAAGCTATCATATTTTGCTGTCTTTTTTATAATCTAAATCCGTACTGTGGCATATTTAACAGAACAAAATACAATTTTTATTGTTCATTTAAAAAATTCTTTGGGATGTATATGGCCAGAAATACAGCACCGAATATGTGAGGCAAAGTACAAGTAATACAAAAGTCAAGCCGAACTATTATAAATAATACAGCAAATTGAATATAATCATTCCTACTGAATTCTTTTATAGCTTACAGATACAGTGGGTTTAGACATGGATTCCAAATTAGCAAATCATGAACAGATTAGCTAATATTAACACAAGGGCACAATAGCTGCACACTGATCAGTTTCAAAGAAATTTAAAAGCAGAATCCAGATCAACATAGCAGTCATGCATTACACATTACACAGATAACTGATTACATGTATTCCCACAATGTGTAACATTTATCTTATCCTATATTAAAAATATAATACAGTTAAAAGTCTTTAATTCGGACTCGTCGGGACTTCGGCGATTCCGGATTACCGATCAGCAATTTAATTCTGGTAAGATGGCATGCAGAAATTATAAAATTAAAAATATGAAACCGTAATTTATGAAATAAAGAGCAATTATGATCTAAAGGGTATCAATATAAAAAAAAAAGCTTAATATTTATTTGTTTACTTTATTAAACATTTCTTTCAACGCGCGCATGCGTAAAGCATACATTACACATAGTCAAAATTAGGAAATTGCAACCAGAAAACTATTTGATGTGTATTCGTGATACTTATAATGACGAGGAATTTGATTTAAATCATATCAAAGACGGAGTACATCGAGATGAAATACTACATTTAGTAAGGAATTATAAGCCGAATACAATAAAAACAACTGTCCTGAAGATAAGGATAGTGCTGACAAATCAACTTCCAGTTCATTGTGCGCCGCGACGTCCCCCCCCTCCCACAGAGCAGCGTGAAATTGATGAACAGATTTCGGAATGGTTAGAGAAACAAAGGATATGCCTTTATCCATTTTTTTTGCAGCAATTCCACTTTTTGTTTGATGGACAAAAAAATGCCAAGAAACATGCTTTCGCTTTGTAGATCCTTTGACAACTCCAAAATCGGAAATTCTTTTTGACATAATCGAAAGTTCAAGCTTACTTTTATAAAATTGTTCTAACAGTCTGCAAAAAATAATAAGCCGGATCCAATTCGAAAATTAAGGAACAACGCAATCTGCAACATTAACTGAAATAGATAATTAGATAATTTTAGCTTAGCTTATACCGTCTGTTATACATTAAACGTGCATGCGCAGAAAGTTTGTAGCTTTGAGGTCTGGGTTATAGATCATTCCAAATTATGGACGTCCGGATTAAAGACTTTTGACTGTATGGGAAAAGAAAGCCCAAAGCTAAAATGAATTTTTACAAATGAAAACTAAAAATTAATATAAACATAATTCCATTATTTATCAACAGGAATTTTATAATTGGTATTTGTTTAATTTTTTTTAATGTGATAAAAGTCCAAAAATTTATTTTTTAATTATATCAATTAATTACTAATAAGAGATTAATTAGAACACAAGGCTTACCGGGCTTCCAACACAGATGATTATGAGAACTACTGGCAGCATTATACCAAATCAACTGACGGCAACCATCATATGCTAATGAATATTCATCATCACCTATACCATATCCTTCCTATAAATATTTAAAATGGATATTTTTTACACATTGTGAGATCAACCTACAGTGTTTACAGTCCCTTACATTTATAAAGTGCTCTAATAGAAAATGCATATGAAAACACACAAGAAATCATTTTAAAATAAAAATTTGAAGACAGAAGTAAAATGAAGTAAAAGAAAAAAAGTATGACTTTAGAGTAGAAATTATGTTTGACTCACAGAATTTGTTCAGAATGCACAAACATTTTCTACCTTTCTTTTAGTATGTGTAATACCTATTTTAGTATGCATTTAACAGTATCAGTAACTATAATGTTTTCAAAAATCCAATAGCAGGCACTTGCCTATTCAGCACTGGCCACTCCAGAAGTGGTGGCTATTTTTATTTGGACATATCTAACATGTGACCACCGCTGCTTCCTAAGAAGTCACGGACAGTTACAGCCATGCCTTTCAAAAGACTCAAACTTGGGCTCTTCAGTATTGCAGTAGTCTCCCCTAAACACTATACTATCTACGCAGCTAATTTATAATGTAATCATCAGCACATTTTGTGCTTAAATGAAATTCTTTATTAAGAAACATGAGTTAATAGTGCCCAAATATTAAAATAATGTGCATAGTCTTTAAACACGCTTACAAAATCAACATCTGGATTTTTAGTACAGAATAAGGAGTGCCCTATATGAATGCTGAAACTATAAGGTCTGCCAAGAATATTTTTCAATATTCAAGAATATTTTTTTATAGTTTCAATTCACATGCTTGTTTTCATTTACAACTTAGTTTAGCTGTCTTTCTTTATCACTGTAATCATACACATACACTCTTCTAAATTAATGGAAACATAATTATCTCATGTCATTATTAACTGAGATCTTGTAAACATGACTAGCGATAAAGCTGATTTGTATTTTGTACAAATTTCAAAAGGAATAAATGCTACAGAAACGAGCAGAAATTTAACCCTTTCCGGCACACTATCTTTTAAAGTTCGAATTTCGATAAAAAAAAAAAAAAAAGGTAGGCAGTCTAACTAGGCCTAGAGGAGTGCACAAGTAAAATTTTGTGAAGATAGTACTTATCGTTTTAATTCTCTGGGTGTTCCCGAAATGAACACACTGATTGAATAGAGCTTTGAAAAGAGTGCTGAAACAAGCATTGCTGGGAAGCGCGTAAAAGAGTAAGAGATTTTGCCTACAATTAAAAAGCACTAGATTCTGAATACCATAGCAAATTTAGCATTACCTAGGGTGTGCCATGGGGAGACCTGCTACTCTTTTCAAACAATTCCTTCACCCTAAAAAAAATCTGGAAGATTTCTTTGAAAAATGAGGGTCTTAAAAAACTAAACATGGCTAAAATATATGGACTGGTTGTGTTGGGCTGCCATCTACTATAAATAAAAAAGGTTCAGAGTAACCTGTAGTAACTCTAAATCTTTTTTCATTCAATTTTTCTGTGCGTACAGAAGGAAACTTTTAAGTGTGCCCAGATCCTCAGATAATGAGAATAGTAACTTAAATAATTGTTTCTGTACCTTCAATGTTGTTATGTACAATTAACAGAACTTCTCATAGATTTATATTAAATGCATTTTATTTCTTTATACAATGAGTAATATGTAACTTTTACAAGGGCAAACAACACCAGCCATAATAGACTAATCATAAAGTTGCATCATAAGTGTGGCATACCGGAATTACCCCCACCCAAGAGAATGCCGCAGGGGATGTCCAAGGACCAATATATTATGAGCTTAAGCCTAATGAAACACTCAGTTCAGAGATACTGTCACCAAATGGATGAATTAAACAAAGCACTCAAAGAAAAGAGGTTGGCGATGTTTAATAGGATGCACATCCATAATGCCTCATGATAATGCCAGAGTGTATGTTGTTTTCGCAACTCATCAGAAAATTACACAGCTAGGTTGGGAAATTCTGCCACATCCAACACTGAGGTCCTCTGATTATCACTTGTTTCTCTTCTTGCAAAAAATTTTACAGAAAAAAATTCAAAACTGAAGGATGTGTCAGCCAAGCACTACTCAAGTTCTTTACCTCTACGGACAAGACGTAGAGACATTAGGTAATTTGGAAGCAGGAAAGATGAAAAATGAGCAACCGCCTTCGCCGAGAATTGAACTGCGGACCTTTGGAATACGCACCAATCGTGCAGACAACCACACCATGAAGGCGGAAGAAATACCTTATATACTTCCCCTTTTAAAGAGCAACTGGGGTTATTTTTAGGGAACCCAATCTCTAAATCCTCGGTGAGGAGAATCATCATCCAACACCCTTTTAGTTCGGGCACCACTATAGAGACATTACGTAATTTGGAAGCAGGAAAAAATGAACAACTGCCTTCACTGGGAATCAAACTGCGGACCTCTGGAATACGCGCCCAGCATGCAAACCACCACACCATCAAATACCTTGCAAAGACATTTTTAAAAAATTGCATTTCTTTCACTTTTCAAACGTACAGAATTTTCTAACAGGCCTTATATTATTTCTCTAAAAACAGAAAAATGTTATTAGTTTAAAGTTAGATTTCAGATTGCTTGTTGTTTCCTTTATGAGATTATACTTTTTAAATCTTCAAGTCAATAAATATTTTACTCCCCATACTTAAAACTGTATACACACTTTTAATTTTGCTTCGAGTTCCTTATCCACAGAAGAATTATATCCATAACAGGATTGGCAAGCTTCTTTCAAGGTAGTAAAATTATTTTTTACAACCAGTTCAAAATAGCATAAAAGTGGTCATGGGTGTAGCCAGGATAGGAGCTGGGGGGTGCAAAGGATTTTAGACCCAGAAAATGAAACTATGGTATAACAAGAATTTTTCGGTGACAGAGCAGATAAAATTGCTGAGCACCAGTAATTCGATTTGAAAGTGAATTAATTGGTTGGCTGCATGAGTGGCTTTTTTTTTTTTTTTTTTTTTTTCTCATGTATTATAAATTGAATACGGGTCATTTACCTCACAAAATTCTCCTCTAAGACAGCTTTCCTTCAGGATAGCACATATGCTTTGCTACAGTCGAATAAACGAGCAAATAAATAATGAAACTGAAATACATGAGTTTAAACAAATCGTTAAAATATGGGAGATAGGAACAAAGAGACTCCTGACACTTTTTTACTTGGTCTTTAATTTATGTTACAACAAGTGTTCTGCTATCTGAACTAAAATTGTTTTAAAACTTCTTTTTCCATTTCTATTCTTGTTTCTTGAACAAGCTTTCGATGCACACTTAACACAGCCCATTTAAGTGATTCTCGATTTGATCTTTTACCAAATCTTCCACAGCTAACTCCTTTATGTTGTCGATCTCTAGTTTCCTCATTTTCCAGAAATTATAACAGAGTTCTCTCTGACTATCAAATTTTTTTCAGATGATAAAATCACGAAAGCACTCCACATTTTTGGCAAATTCTTCCACTGGCATCTTTAGCATAAGCCACAGGATGTAATAACAACAAAGAAAACACTGGTAAACTATTGCTGTAAAATCTTATTTTCAGTAATGGTATTAAGGAATCCAGATAAGGGATAATAAGACACCTTTCCAAGAATTCATCGGTTGTAGATGCAGGAGGATTTGACCGATGTTTTTGCAGTTTTACAATTATCAGAGCTTGCAATTCAGTGCCAATGCTCTCAACCATAGCACTTGTAAAATTTTCTGGCATAAAACATCTGTTGCTCTACGATGTTCTTTTACAAAGCATTAAAATTCTGTTTATGTGTGAATTATGTACCTCCAAGGTACTAAAAATTATACTTAGGCCCGACAAAGAGGGAACGCTTCTTCATAGGCAACTCTTGAAATTACAATCAGACATTTACTTATTTATATCATTTAATGTGAATGTGAGCAAAAGAATGTCTGGACACTAGATGGTCCTTATTTGTATGACCAGCAGTAAAAATGTTTGGAGCTGGGAAAAGATTCAACAAAGATATTCTACAGAAGACAGGGGAAGAACTTAAAGAATAATATAAGAAACAGCGAAAACTTTTCGCTAACTTTTTAATTGAAATAAAAAAAGAATTGCAGTCGTTTAGGAAGGTGCACTTGCACCTCCCTGCACCCCCTGGCTATGTCCATGAAAGTTGCAATACCTGGCAGAAACTCATAAATATTCTAAATAGCTGACTCATAAATAAAAATTGGCTGCAGTAAAGTAAACGAAAATGTATTTTAAAGTTAGGCAAATTTGATCATAATTTTTATAATATTTATTTAAATATTACATCACATCAAATTAATCATTCAAGTACAGCCTGACTTTCTCCACACAGTAATTTATGACAGAATAATAAATTCACTGTTTTAAAATCTAAAGAATATCTGAATTTAACGTGGATCAAGAAAACATAGGAGAACATTCTTGGAAACCCAGCAGTACTCACAATATGATCATCCTGCAAAAAGTTATGAACTTTTCACTCATAATTGTTTCTTTTAAATTAGATCACCATTCACTAAGTGATAAATAATTTTTCTACAGTAGCATTTGAAAGAGATGATCTAAATTCTGTCCTTATTTTTCTCATTTGACTGAATACCCATTTACACTTTGTGACACATTCCTAGTTTTTAAGTAGTTGTAAATAAAATGAATAATTCAAAGTAATCTACACTGGTTATCATAAATTAAGGAAAAATCACAAAAATCACAATTACTGAAAAAGTTACATGGAGAATTTTATGAAACTTGCCCACAATATACAACATATAGTAAGGTATCAAATAACATAAAAATAAATTACCAGACAATTATGGTAATATAGAGATTAGCACGTGTATAAAATGAACAAATCGAAGGTGTGTCAGTTTGCTAAAGGGAAAGTACCTTCAATATGGAATATGGTCGCCTCTAGAAACAATACAGCGATGTGTGATGCTTTCAATTATGCGGTCTATCAGTTCCATAGGAAGCAAGAGCCATTGCTCTTGCAAAGTACTTGCAAGTGCGGCAAGGGTCTGAGGGGGGATGGAATGAGAGCAGCTAGACGTCTCTCTAAAGCATCCCAAACGTGCTCGATAGAATTTATGTCCGGGGATTGAGCTGGCTACTCCACGCACATAATTGTTTCCTGTTGAAAATAATCATCTACATGCGAGCCCTGTGTGGTCTTGCGTTATCGTCCTGTAACAGGAAAGCATCACCTATTGCATTGGCACATGCACGCACATAAGCATCAAGGATGTCATCTCTATAAACCAGAGCATTCACGGTTTCCATTGGAAAGAGATGGAGGTCTGTGCATCCACCCAAAGAGATGCCACCCCAAACACAGACACTGCCTCTTCCGCATGCATCTCTTTAACGGATGTTTGACAGATGATAATATGTTCCAGGTTCTCTCCATATCAAATAACGCCTACTATCGCTTTTTAGACCAAACCCGGACTCCTCGTAAAGAGAACAGCCCTCCAGTGATCAGGCGCCAAGTGGACATGTTGTCGTGCCTACTGCAAACGGTCCCTCCTATGGCATGACGTGAGCGGCACGCAAATGGCTGGACGTCTCGCATACAGACCACCTTCGTGAAGCCTTCTATGCACAGTTGACGTTGACACTAACCTTCTGGTGGCTGCAGCAAATGAGGATCTAAGAAGAGTCGGAGTAGCGGTTCTATTCCTGTGTGCAGATAATGTCAAATATCGGTCATCAGCGCTAGTCGTAACAGTCGGTTGTCCTTGGCTGAACCTCCTAGATGCCGAATCTGTGGTTTGAAATTGCCTCTAAAGTCTATGAACCACAGAAGGACTCACATTTAGCCATCTGGCCACTTCTGTTTGACTTTGCTACGAGTGGCTATATTAGATTTCTGATGTCACTGTCACAGTAAAATATGTGGGCTTGCTCTCAAACATGGAATTTTATTCTCCTTGCAGATGACGTATTCCGAGTGCAGCGCCACTAATTTGCATATTGCAGTTTTACTCAGCTACTCTTACTTGGCAACATATTCAAATTTTACATGGTTTGGCTTATTTTTGAGGGAGTTATCGCTATTTTTGTGATTTTTCCTTAATTTATGATAACCAGTGTATCAGATTAATTCACCTTATATTTTCAGGAATTTGTGACTTTACAGCATTTGTATATTCCTTTGAGCTAAACACTTTATCTACAATGATTTTTGAAATATTTAAAGACAAATACCACGCTTCATAAATAGAACAAGATAATAAATAAGTAGAATCATAATATTGTGGAAACTACACTGGTCTTTTCAAAAATAGTTTTTCTCGTTTATTCTATTTGACAATTATTATTGGCTTCTACTTTGTCTTGTATTTTTTTACCTATTCCTGTTATTATTCTTGACACTATTTATGCATTGCTTGCAATCTTTTTCTCAGACCTTATATTTATGGAACTCAGCAAAGTCTGTAATTTTTCAGTGAGTTTCTCCCCCCTTTAAAACAAGGACAGTTCTACTGCTCTTGTTGTAATAGGTCTGCCATTGCGGTAATTATCCAGCATCCAGACCCAGGGTTTTTGATCTCTTTGGTAATGATTCCACATCCTACTGATGACATTACAATTCACATTCAGCTCTTTCATAATAGCGAATTTTCTTTCACTAGCTTGCAACATCCTGACAGCATTCCAATGCATTTCATTTTCCCAATTGTTGCCATTTTCAACTGGTTACAACCAGTTTTTGACTCAGGCAGGAAAAAGATTATTTTCTACCAGCAGAAAGCCAGTCTTGATGTAGATTTAATCTGACAAAAGAAACAAATCCTCAATTATGAATATTTGTAGAGACGGATTCGGAAAAGCAGTTTAAAAAATACTTCTTCATTCCATTCAAAGACTAAACACTGTTTTCATTAAAGCAGTAATTTGAAAGTTGAATATGGAAAGCATATAAATGGATCAATCCTGTATAATCTCAGGAAACTGGATAGGAAGTTACCAGCCAAAAACTGCAAAAATTTTCAATATGCTTTAATTCAAATGACAACTTAGGCTGTAATAAATAGTTCATTATTAATACTTAAGATTATCGAAGAGCCGTTCAGCCTCTAAGACATCTATTCTAAAGTAACAAGAAACACCCAGAGGGAAAGAAAAAGGTTGCTTTCTACATTATAATCAAATCTCTGCTAATCAAAAAAAGTAGTTTTACCTAATAATTTTTTTTTTTTTTTTCCAGTAACTTTTGTCTCAGGAACTGCAAGACAGAAGAGTGTTCCTAATTTCAAACTGATAAAAACATACTTGAAGTCAAGTTTTAATTTAACATAAGTAAAACCCCCTTGCATTTCTGTTCGCAGAAAATTTTACTGCTAAAAATTACAATGAAGTAATATAACTGGCAACTTCCGTTTAAAATTAATTAAAAGTACTATATTATTAATTAACTAAAGGCATACTATTGATTTGATATATTAATTTGCTTAACTTATATGAGGTACCAAAAGCACTGATTGATGATTTATATGGAATACTGAAAATGCTGTAGTTGAACTTTATCTATAATATACGATCTCTATGTGAAATAAACTAAACAAATCTAGATGATGTATGAATAATACTTAAATTGGAGACAATCTAAAATATACACATGATATTACATAAAACAGAAAAAGGTATGCAAAAAACTCTAATGAAGATGCATAAAAAATTACACTCAATTCCTGTGTTTACAATTAGCACCTAATTTTTACAGGAGACAGAAACCTTACATCTTAATGCACCATCTAAAATAATTACAATATTTCTTCCCTGTTGTGAATATTTTGCATACATACTCAATCAGATTAATATATATGTGATTGATTCTTAATGTGTTGTTTATAATATCAATAAAATAAATAATTTGTATTTGTCCCTTATTCCTATTTACTCAAAGCCTAGATTGGTAAAAAAATATTATTATAATTATTACAATTATTTTAAATAAAACGATTACTAATACCTTCATACAAAATTTAAAATCGCCAACTTGAAATATTATAAATTTTTTTCATACCAATTTAGCAGAATTTTTTTTTTACACTTTTTTTTTTTTTTTTTTAATTTATACTAAAGCAATGTTTGATACTGGCAGATATAATGCTCCTGATGCCCCCTATAAAAGACAAAGTTCAGCCCCCTGTAAAAGACAACAGTTATGTCTAAGTTTAACATGTACCTTAAAAATAAAATATACTGCCTACATGATTTAGGAACTTGCTATTTTTTGTTGCCCAACCAATCTGCATCACTCCAGAAGTAACAATTGTAACTTCATAATACCAAACTCCAGAGTCAACCTGGAATGTACATCTGACACTCTCAAAAGATGATGCATCTGAACGAGCCTGAATGAAAAGAAAATATTTTAAAATATCAATGAAATAGATCAACATTTTTCATAAAAAAGCACAACAAAAAACAAAATAAAATTATTTTAATAAAAATTGCTTTGCATAACCAAAAATATTTATTACTATTACACTATAATTACAGTATAAGAAAAGGTCTAAAGTTATACTATCTAGACATATTTTCACATAAAATATAGCACATAAATTGCGCTAAAGATTCCAAAACTGATTTGTTGTGAAACGAACTGATGTAATAACTGGCACGAGGCGCTGCTGTTCGTGACATCAGCCTGCGTGCTGAGTGTTTCGAATGTTTTGCTTGTAGACAGAACGAAAACTGATCTTGGAAGCGTAAGACTGGTTTGATGAAAATAAAGAATGGCTTATTAAGAATTTTTTGTCTTTATTCATAATGCACCCAGCATCAGGTAGAAGCAGCCCGCAATTGAATGAACTGTTTTGAATATATTTGATTTATATATTTTCTGTGTTCTTCGTAACATAGTGGTACCCTCGGCGGAACCGGGTACTATAAATTAGTATTTTCCAAATGAACTTTTGATTTTGGACATACTTTGAAGATAGATTTGATCGCTTTAAAGGCCCAAAGAAGAGGACTTAGAATTGCATTTTATCAAACCTCAAGGAATACCAAAAGTGAATTAACTAAAGAAGTAAGAGATTTAAAAATAATTTCGATTTTGAAGAGTCAACTTTGCAATATATTCCAGAGACTTGACATCAGAGTGCTATCTCACAGCAGATTTTGCAGACTGAAGATGGAGAAAAATTATTTAGTGATAACTTTCAAGAAGCGGAGGATTAACGAGATAAGTTTCTAGAACAGTGTGCTCAAATAGATGCGGAAATACAAGCCTCCTCTCTTCCAAGTAACTTAGAATCGAGGAAGTTTAAATTACCTAAAACTGTGCTTAAAAAGTTCAGCAGTGAAGCTAAAGATTACCTGACTTTTTGGAGTCAGTTCCAGAAAAAATCTACGACGACAAAAGTATCGCTGATGAAGACAAAATGCAGTATCTGTTGCAGGGCATGGAACCCCAATCGAAGGCAGAATGCCTAGTTCTTAGCTTTCTGGCAAAGGCAGCTAATTACCCCAAAGCCATCGAACAATTAAGAAAGTGCTTTGGGCATGAAATTTACTTGTGCAAATCTATGGTGAGAGATTTGTTAAGACTAATGATGAAGAATGCTGTAACCGGAAGAGCAAAAACTGATCTACTCTCCCTTTATGATGAACTAGAAGGAAAACTGCGAGCATTGGAAAGTCTGGGAAGGACCCAAGAAAAATATGGTGATTTTTTTAACCCCCTTAGTGCAAAACTGCTTACCAGAAGAAGTACTGATGGTGTGGGAAAGAAGCTTACATCACGATTCTATTGAAACTAAAGGGACTTGATCCTTGCAACATTTAATGAATTTCTTAAAACAGGAAGTTAAGGGCGAAGAGATGGTTCTACTCGCAAGAACTGGTTTCGCCTCCCAACAGAACTCATCGGAAGAAAGACTTTCACCACGAACAGGTAAAGCAAAATGATCCCGTAACAGCATCAGCTCTAGTAAATCTTGAGAATTCAGGTAAGAGTATTCCAAACTGTAATTTTTGTGAAAAGAAACATTCTAGTGAAAAATGTTACTCCAAGGGGAAAAAAAAAAAAAAAAAAAAAAAAAGCTGAAAAACAACTAATTGTTATTGAAAAAAAGGTGCTTGTTTCTCTTGTCTGAAAACAGCGAGTCACATTAGTAAATTTTGTCCTTTGAAAGGTAAGTTAAGTTGTTCTATTTGCAAAAGTTGTAATCATTTTGATGTAATATGTAATCAAACGCTAAAAAATAGCGATCAGATACATGTGTCAAAACAGAGTTCTCTTTCTAACTGTGGCAGAAGCGAAACTAAATTTTTGCAAATGCTGCGTGTTCGAGTTCGCTGTCAAGGTCGGGAGAAAATTATTCGCTGTATAATTGGTAGAGGAAGCCAAAGTAGCTACATTAGTGAAAGTATGATGAGTCAGCTTAAAGCATCTCCACTTAGGAAGGAGACAGTTATACATGCATTGTTTGGGAGGGACGAAACAAAACCTAAACAACATGAAGTGTTTTCGGTCGAAGTCAGCAATTTAAAGGGAACGTTCGTATGTAGTTTTGAAGTACTTTCTCAAAAAAAGGATTTGTGGTTTTATTCCTAAGGATAAAGAGATTTTGAATGAATTAAAAGAAAAGGAAATCGAATTTTCTGATCCATTGCAAAAGGAAACTGAAATTAACCTTTTAATCGGAGCAGATGTTATAGGAAAATTATTGACGGGAAATTCTATTAATTACAGTTGGGGGTGACGGCTGTCGAAACGAAACTTGGGTGGACGGTATTTGGAAAACAAAATTTGGATGAAAAGGATAATATTTTGAAAACATTTTCAATGCACGTCAGGAGAGTTCCTTTGAATGAGTTGTGGGAACTCGAAAAAATAGGAATATGCGCTCCAATCAAAACTGTTAACATGAAAGAGTTTTAATTTATCTGAATTTGAGAACAAAATGAAAATTCTTCCAGACGGGAGATATGAAGTAGAACTTCCATGGAAATGTGATACGACACATTTAACCGATAATAAAGAATTATCATGGAAAAGGTATCAAAAGATGATCTATAAACTCAGATGTAGTAAATTTTTCGATGATTATGAAAATGTGTTCAAGGAATGGGAAAGGTTGAATATTATTGAACGCGTACCAGAAAACGAACGGAATAATAAATATCATTATTTGCCGCATAGGCCTGTAATCAAATTAGGAAGTGAAACCCCGAAAATTTGTCCTGTTTTTGACGCCTCTGCCTCTGAGAAAGGGAAACTCTCTTTGAACAAATGTTTGTGCAAAGGAATGAATCTTATTGAACTAATACCCGATATTATAGATCATTTTATGATATATCCAATATTAGTGCCGATATTGATAAGGCTTTCTTAATGTTATCCGTCGCATCTAAAGATAGAGATTTCCTCAGATTCCCCCCCCCATGGAATGAAGGACAATTAATTTATAGGCATTGCAGAGTTGTTTTTGGAGTTTCTTCAAGCACCTACTTGTTGAACGCATCTATTAGAAAACTGTCTACGTCAGTATAGTGAAGTTGCTCAAAAATTGAAATCATCATTTTATGTGGATAATTGTTTATCTAGTGTTTTTAATATTTATGAACAGTTTAAAAGAATTCATGGAAATCCATTAATTCCAAATTAATTATGTCAAATGGATGTTTTAACTTGCACGGTTTTGAAAGCAATGTGGCTGGTACAAATGTTGACAATCATTCAGGGGATACTTCCATTTTGGGGGTAAATTGGAATTTGGATAATGATACGTTTAGGTGCTGCACAGATACAGATACATGACCTGTAATACGAAAATCACAAAGAGGACAATTTTGGAATTGTGCAGAACAAATTTTGATCCTATTGGTTTACTAACGCCAACTACATTGCTTCCGAAACTGTTTCTGCAAAAATTGTGGAAAGTGAAAATTGCGTGGGATGATGAGTTGTCTCCAAATGATGTAAAAACATTTTTGAACTGGTTTAAAGAACTTAATGTTTTGAAAGATGTTTCTTTGCCTCGATACTTATTTATTAATGACACGTCTGAACAACATGTATTTGTGGATGCTTGCAAGGGGGCGTACGCAGCGTGCGTCTTTGTCCGATCAGTATTTAATTCTGAAATAAAAATACATCTCATGCGAGCGAAGTCTAGAGTATCGCCTTTAAACCCTTTGAGCATTCTTCGCTTAGAATTAATGGCCTGTTGTATAGGTTCTAGACTTGCAAATTCTATTATCAAGGCTCTCAGTTTGCCCGACTTAAAAGTTACCCTCTGGTCTGATTCGACCACTGCCCTTTGGTGGATAACAAAGCAAGGAAATTGGTCCGTTTTCGTCGAAAATAGGGTTAAAAAGATTCGAGAGTTGACACGAGGTCATTCATGGAGACATGTCCCAGGAAAACTGAATATTGCCGACTTGTTATCGCGCGCATGTTTTGCAAAGCAGATGCTTCCGTCTAGATGGTGGTAAGGCCTCTTGTGGTTACGAGAAGGCCCTGAAAACTGGCCCACTGGTGAGATTATTTGTTTGCTTGAAGAAGTAGAATTGGAGAGGAAAATGATAAAAATAGTGAATATTGATCTATCAAAAGACGCACCCCCTTGACATCGAATCAGAGTATCCAATTATGATAAAATGATTAGAATAGTTGCATGGATATTTAGATTTGTAAATAATTGTAAAGATGGTTCTGAAAAGAATAGAAACATTGAACTTTCACAGTATGAAATTGAAAATTCTGAGAAAATTTTAATTTCTTTGGTTCAAAATTATTATCTGACTGATAAGAAATCTTATAATTTTATTGAAACGCTCATTGATGATGATGGTATTCTGAGAGTCAAAATGAGAATACTAAACAGAGATGACCATGAATCTTTTCTGTATCCAATACTGTTGCCAGAAAAATTTGATTTCACTAGGTTATTAATCAGAAATGTACATAATAAAAACTGTCATGCTGGTCTTCAGATGATGCAATGTATATTACGAGAAAGATTTTGGATAGTCAGAGTTAGGGCCATTAAAAATTTTAATAAAGGCCATTAAAAAATGTCCTCTTTAACTGTATCATTTGTAAAAGATTTAAAACTAAGGCTATGTCAAGCGAACCGACACCTCTGGCACCAGACAGGGTTATGGATTGTGCACCGTTTGAAACCATAAGGATATGTCTGGACCCGTTTTTAAAAAATGGAGGAAAGGTATGGATCGCACTGTTCACGTGCACTGTGTACCGTGTCATTCACCTTGAACTTGTTAATTCTCTTTCTACTGATGCTTTTCTTCTGGCACTTCGACGATTTGTTGATAGGCGCGGACGCCCTATAATAATCTATAGTGATAACGGGACAAATTTTTAGGGTGCATCTACTGAGTTATCAAAACTAAATTGGTCTAAAGTATTAAAGGAAATGGGAACTGAAAAAATACTCTGGAAATTTATTTCACCTGCAGCAGCTTGGTAAGGCGGCTGGTGGGAGAGGTTGGTTCGTACAATAAAAGAACTGCTGAAACATACGTTAGGTAAATCAGTGTTATCATATCAACAACTTTATACTATTATTTGTGATTGTAAAACTATAATTAATTGTAGACCCTTAACGTATGTTTCTGAAGATCCGCAGGAATTTGTCCCTCTGACACCCGCCAGTTTCTTATCAAGAGAATTCCAATGTTGAAGATCTTGATGATTAATTCGTCAATCTAATAAGAGATTAAAGTATAGAACTAAATCTTAAATGACTGCAACACGCTTTAGAAAAGAATACCTTAGTCACTGGTCAAAAGCATAATGAAAACGATCTTGGGAACCTGTTTGAGAAATAGTACTGATGGGGGATTAATAACAAAAAAACATTTATTTTGGCCTTAGCCCGAATTACGAATTGATCCCTGGACGTGATGGAAAGATTTGCACATTAAACTTACGACCCGGCATGGAACAATTGTACAACCAATACAATGCATCTTCCCCTGGAGATACAGGGCAGACAGAAAAATAATTCCTGATAAGAAACTAGGTGCAGAGAATCTAATTCTAGTGCTGGGTATGTTAAGGGGGAATTAAACCTGATACAATGGTATGAACAATATTTCTCCTCTGGAGGACTTTAAAAGCTCCAAAGACTTGATCTTTAAATAATGTTTGTATGAGCTGAGACTCATCCTATCTCAAGGGGGGAGGTTTGTAAATGAACTTAATAATCTGGCGCGAGGCACTGCTGTCGTGCGTCAGCCTGCTGCTGAGTGTTTCGACTGTTTTGCTTGTAGACGAATGAAAGCTGATCTCGGAAGCACAAGACTGGTTTGATGAAAATAAAGAATGGCTTATTAAGAATTTTTTGTCTTTATTCATAATTCACCCAGCCTTGGGTAGAGGCAGCCCGCAATTGAATGAACTGTCTTGAATATATTTAATTTATATATTTTCTGTGTTCTTCGTAACAGATTAGAAGAAAATTCTCAGATCATTGACACATGATAATTCTCATCAGAAAGTGATGGCTACTTGCTGTTATACTTCACTTCATAGGGAGATACAAAAGTAAATAAACGTTTTAAGAATAATCCATTTCAATGGATTTGCAATTAATAGTAATATACTACACAATAAAAAAATGCGATTTTTTTAATTAAAATTTTGATTGCACTTTGTAAACATTTTGCTACAAAATAATAAAAACTACAGGAGGTAAAATAGCTGCAATTTTTTTCACTAATAAAAGAACTGCAGGAACATACTGTTAAAATTCTTTACTCCTCTCTTAAGAAAGCATGTTATATGGCACTCTAGAATTTTTACATAAATAATTATTACATATGGAGCTTGTAATGCATGAATTATGGAGGATTCATAAACATTTCTCTTTTTAAATTCATTCAAAAGCTCTTCAAAGAACAGCTTTTTGACTCTTACCTCACTGGAATGAAGCATAAATTTTGTAAACAAGTTTATAACCTACTTGATAAAAATTCGTTGAAATGTCTTATTCACTAATATTTCCAGATTTTCATTTTCCCTACTTAATTACACATATGAAAATATGAAAAGCAACTCCTGAATAAATTTTTTGGTAATAAAATGTGAACTTGTTTAAGATATCCCTTATTCACTATAATGAAAAATGCATTCTTTAGATTTTCATTTTTTGCCTATGAGGTTAATTGTAAAGAGCAGTTTCTGAACATAAGACAACTTCCAAACTTAATGACAAATAAGGTAGAACTGGTTAAGTTGCCCTTAAAAAAGGGAGAAAAAAGATTATATTCATAGGAAAATAGTCGACAAAAATCGGGTTGATATTATTAAATTAATAAGCATTATAGACATAGGGGGAAATAACAAATACTGCACTGAGGAGGGTGGTATATTAAACTGCTATTGAAACTATTTTTTAAACTGAAAAAATTATTAAAATAAATAAAGCACTAGCAAAATGCAAATGCTCAATATAAAAATGATAAGTAACAGCAATGATGAAATAAAAATAATTAATCAACTAAAAAAAAGCACTCACAGTTAAACCATCAGCTGAAATCTTTAAATATTCACTAACATCATTACTGTTGAGCATAGCATTCAAGTTTGTTCTGTCAACATGTTCATAAGTAAATGGTCTCCCCTAAATAAAATAGAAAAAAAATCAACTAAAGGAATTTTATTATTATACAAGATGCAATGTATCTATTAAATAGCTTTTAATGCTTGAAATTTACAAAATCAACATATACAACACATTGGTGTGGTGGTGTATTTAATTATGGCAAAGCACACTAGGGCTATCTGCCTAAGGGGGAGGGAGGGATGCCTTCGTGGAGGACTTTCTAAGGGAAACTGGCTCGTATACACGTTACACATGGGGAAAACCACGAAAACACCCATGCAGCCAGCCCGTTCGTGAGATTCGAACCTCGGACCGAACTACCAGTGTTCAGCGACTTTACCGCTCGGCTGCTGGTGGCCCAATACAACATATTGTACACATAATAATATGACTGACTTATTTTACTTTACAGAAAGCAAATAAAAAGTAACACAAAAGAATTTCATATAAGTTTTCAAATGCTAAAAATATATTATTCAGATTGTCATGAAATTTTAATACTTTATTATAATTTAACAATCAAATGGAGGAAAAAAATCACTGAACTAGAATTTTTTTTTTTTTTTAAATTTATGCAAGTATTGTTATGAGCTGGATATGTACCAATACTGTAGCTTGCCACTGTTTTCTAGAACATGAATTCTATAAGATTCTGTAAATAAGATCTCCTTCTTTGAGGAAAAAAATCATACTGATTAGTATTTTTTAGGATAACTAGCGTAGAAATGCTTACTGCTTAAACTATTAACATTAGAAGCCTTTTTCTAAGCTGATATTTTATTTCAAATTTTTTAATGTGTTGACGAAAATGTCTATTATTATTTTTTTTTAAAGTGAAAAAGAAGAGCAAGTAAAATAATTCCTTAAGCGCCAATATTTAGTATGACACCTTGCAATATGCCTTATATTGCATTAATCCCTCATGGATAAAAGTACTCTCATTTAGAATTTTGTTTTTGCTTAAAGGGAAGGGGAACCCTCTTTTAATGCTGTTTTCACATTAAAATTTACATCATCAAATGTTTGAAGGTCCCAGGAATTCTGTAAAATTCGATAAAGATGACAGTCTGAAGGAGCTAGGCCTGGGCATAAGGTAAAACTTACCATTCAAAGTCAAGTAGTTTTTTTCTGAGTAATTAACACAGCCTGAGTTCTGGAGTTTTAATGCTGAGAAATAACACCTTGGTGACTGACAAATGCTGGCTGCTTACAATAAGTTTTGTCCCAGCTTGTCCAGCAGTTGGTGGCACAGGTCATTTATTAACAGTTTATGAGGAAGCTAATCTCAATGGGTTTATTCACATCATAGCTCTCCATATGCACTTAACAAAATCTTCATGATGTACTTAACAAAATCTTCAATATCTTGATGTGAAAGCAGCAGGCTCTGTCTGCTACACAACACACAGTTTTTCAACATTTCACACAGATATAGAGTATCAATTTCTCATTATCCATCACAAATCCAAAAAACGGTTCATTTTTTGGAAAAAAAAAAAAAAAACCCAGAGAAGGACAGATACTAGTTCTCATCTGTTGTTGCTTTTCAGACAGCTGAAGTATAACACACTGAATAAGCTGTGCGATGAACCTAAGTGCATGCATTTCTCTTTAAACTGTTATTGCGAGTAAAGAAAAAATTCTACTAATTCCTCAGCAGTTGCCCAGAAGGCATTCCATATAGCTTGGTCTAGAATCTGCTCAGAAGCCACTGATGAACATTCGGAACATGGTATGATTTGTACAGCTTCTGTTTCTATTCCTGAATTTTCGAAAACTAGCGATGACATATGCTATTATCAATCACATACTTTCCATATACTTGACAAATGTTTAGTCATGAAGGGCTAAAGTGTTGCCTCTATCAAACTCATTCTACATACAAAGTCTGATATGCTCCCCATCCTTTGTCATCCTAGATATCTGAATTTTTTTATTTGCTCTTACAAGTCTTAATGATTTACTCTTACAAGCATGTTGCCCTTTCATGTTGTCTGCCTACACATTTTACTGGCTTAAAATTCCAATCATAACAATGTCATGCATGATGTTAAATAAAATCATACTCTGAATCTCCAAAAAATAGAACATGCTTTTGCATCAGCCCAATACAGATGCAAACATGATACTCTTCAGTTTGTAAATGGTCCCTGAATATGATCTCCCAGCTTTAAAAATGAAACATAGCCAAATTCATTGCACGGGAATCATGCTCATTCTTCTTTTTTTTTTTTAATAATAGTATAAATTTTTTCTATATTTTAGTAGAAGAAACAGGGAAACCGAAAGTGTTTTTAAGATTTCATAAATTTTACTTAATTGAATTTTTTAATATAAAATTGTTAAAACATAAATATTAGTGTAATATGATATTTTTGTACTTGAAAGTATATGTATACGACCAAGAGTTGCAAAAATAAAGGTGAGGTAAGGACTTTTGTGGACAAAGTGTACATACAGCTACATTGATGAAATTATAGAACATCACTGAATATATAACTATCTACAAACTGATAACTAATTACATTGCAATGAAATTTAAAAGTCATTCAAAACTATGCATTAGTACTAATGAAAATTAAATGTTTACTGCATTTCATAACTTGTAAATATTTCAGGTATAAAGGAAAGAATTTAGAGACTTAAAAGAGTTTAGAACTTCAACATTTCCAATGTTCCTAATGTTTAGTGAATACATTATAGCAGCTAGCTTAAATTAACACCATGTACTGGATAGATTAGAGTACTTTGATTACAAAGTACACAAGACTACCTGCCTATAGAAAGGAATGCTTTTTGCGTAGGACTTTCTTAAGGAAACTAATCAATATTTACGTTTTCACATGAGCGTGGAAAAAAACATGCAGTCAGCTCATTTAACCAATAATAGAACTAAAACAATAATAAAACTAAGTAAAATATCAAGGTTTTTGTGGCTTTAGCTGTGCATATTTGTCTCTAGAAGCTAATGTTTGACTACTACTAACTATATTAGAGAGGAAGAAAGCCATAAAAACTTGAACTAACCAGTATAAGTCTCTAAGGATCAGCTCTGAGTCATCTCAAATATGAACTGAGATGACTTTTTTTTTTTAAACTTCTATTGCAGTATATAAAAAATTAGTTATAGGCCAGAGTTCAGTCAATCATAAAGTATTCACTGGTTATTCTCCAAGATTTGGGTACATATTGGGCTTAGTCTTATGTTCATTTATTGTCAGTTTGTAAAAGTTTCTTATACATGAATTTTCAGTTTTTCTTCTTATTCACATAATCTACTGGATGGTTCTAATTCAATCCTTACATTGTAAGACTATTAACTAGATCACCCTCAAAAGGAAAGAATTTAAAATTGCAATTATAGGCAATTATGATCTATTCCATGAACTGAACACAGTCAAGTTTTGATACTTATTTATAACACACAAATCAAAACACATCACACGAGAATATTATTTCCAATATAAAAAATTTTCATGTAATAATTGCAATCAACTATTAAAATGTATGTTAAATTATTATTATTATTGTGAAAGTATTTCAAATACTGAAACTATTTCACACAAATGTTCAGAAAACAAGATAAACCTTGGTACAAAATTTACATAAGGAACAATACATCAGATACTATATGCTGATATTATGATGGCTCATGGTCAGTAAATTAATATACTACATTAAAGAGAAAATATTTTCTACTTACTTTTTTAATGACTGCAGTCAAGGATTTCACATGCAAAAAGAAATATTTTTTTGCATTATTTGCAATCAATGAAAATATTAAATTTTATAACTGAGTGAAAAAATTATCATACAATTAAAAATATGAAAAATGTGAAAATTTATTTAATTTTAACAAACAAGTACAGTCAAACCCTGCTAAAAAGAACCAAAGTTAGATCTCTAATCCAGAATTTAGGCAAGTTCTGACTGAAAAATGATTACCCTTAAAATCATCTATGTATAGGATCCTATCCTTATCAGAATAGCAGAGAATGCTTTCACATTACAGCTGTTTTTATCTTCATTCCCATCTTTCTTTGATTTTTAAACACGCGTTACGCGAGACAGATAGTAGCATTTAGTTTTTGAAGAACCAGGACATATAATAACCATAGTTTAGGATACCATATGGTGTTTCTGGCAACTGACAAAAAGAAACATGAATAGGTTTTCTGACTCCATTCAAATTTTTTGACTGAGCTGTCAGATGGAGCCTCTATCTCTCAAGGGTGATGCTATGATGAAAATTTTGAACTTTTTGCTATACAGGGAAAATGGAAGTAGTGAACAGATTCTTATAAATTTTAGGCTTTACAGAAGATTTGCATTTTAGAGAGTAAAATTTTTACTTATTGGTTTGTTTCACTTCAGTATTTAAAATGCTGCTAAAGTGTTGCCAAATGAAGAGTTTTACATTCTTTAGATTGTCTGTAAGAGTTAGGGTATTCTTCATAAATTATTGCATTTTTGAACATTATATATATATATATATATATATATAATATATATGTTTGCAGTTTATATTGAGCAAAAATGAAAGCATTCTTGCTGCACATTAGACAAGGCAGATTAGTGGTGAAATTATTGCCACTTCCAGAAGAAAAAAAACTGCACCTAATTCTTTTCACTCTGCACTGAAGGAATTTTCAATGTTAAAAATTCCTCTGTATGCTGAGTGGTAAATGCATAATGGGCTGTAGTGAAGACAGATATTTTTTGAAAAACACAAAATGGATAAAGCCATATATATATCTGTTTAATATATACAATACAGTTTATACAAATTCACAGTTGCAATCGTGGGAAAATCGAGACTTAGTTATTTCTACTCATAGTAAAAAAGAGGAGAAGGTTTAAAAAGACTGAACATAAGAATGTTAAAGAAGCATTGTTAAAGTGGTTCACTATTCAAAGAAGACACAAGCTGTGATTATCTTGGAAAATTTTAATTATAAATATGAGTTTTAGATAAACATGATTAATTAGAGGGCAAATCTAATCCACAATTTTCATGTGAAGTAATTTATCATGTAAAATTGTTAATGAATGGTGATACTGAAAGAGAACAACAAAAACAAAGTAGTAACTGTATGTAATAGTAACTGTGAATAAACCTTAAAATGATTTTCTTGAGTTATTATTCACATTTTTTTCAGAGATGCGACAATGCAATCAACTGTTTTTGTAATTTGTCAATCAATTTTTGTATTTTTATGAGTGCTGTTTTATTTTCCCCCCTACCAAATAGATAGGGAAAACCTAACTTCAGTCTCTTGAAGTTTGTTATAGAACAGACTGATTGTATATTAAAACAATTGTCATCTTCTAATAGTATAAATTCAAATTCACATACATCTATTTCTTTAATTTTAATAGCATAATAGCTGTAAAGAGAAATTTTAATACAAATTATTTCATTTTCAATATAACAATCATAAAATATTTAGTAATAAAAATTAGTTAAATTTAAATTGGTTTGTCTAATTTTGCAAGCTTGTAAAAAGAAATTAAGATAATTTACTATACACATGTTGCAGTAATTAGAAGTCTTGATTTCCATAATGTTACTTTGAATTTTTACAGCCATCTGTTATGTCATTACTAATGAAAATACTTCCTAGGGAATTAGTTCAAAAGTTCAATCGATCGTTCACCTTCTGCACAGAAACCACAGTGACTTAATATATTGAAATTTCTGAAAAGGGAAGTTGAACGAAGAGAGCATACATTTTCCCAAACATCACCAAAATTATTCTGAGTTTAACACCAGAAATGAATAATATAAATATCAATTAGATCTTATTAAAAATGAAAAATATAACACTGCTTTCAAAAATAAGCATTTTGTTCCATCAGTTGTATCAATGAATACAAACATATTGAGAGGCGATTGCAGCTGCAGATTTTGTGTGATACAAACATCAAATCTATCTGGATGGATTTATTCAAAAAAGGCTCAGGTAATGAAGGTGAATATGGCTTCTTGCTATTGCAATTTTAATGGCCAACAGTATAACAAAAGAAATTTTTCAAATTAGATAACAAACAATTCAACAGAAGTGAAATATATTCATCAGTGGACTCTATTCTGTCATTAAAAAATAAGCTCATACAAAATAGTACAATTTAACCAAGCCCCCAATAACGTTTTTTTTTTTTTTTTTTTTTTTTTTTTTTTTTTAATGATTTCTAACAACTTAATTTTTTTTAGCACTATGTTATTTCAATAAACAATGTTGAAATCATTTAATATACTTTCAATTAAACAAAACTATATGCAATACTGTCTTATTTTCTTTTAAGGAAATTTGAAAAAATGCACATAACTTAAATCGAGGCCAATATCGTAATCATAAAAGTTACAAAATTAACTGAGTATACAAACAATAATGCAGTACCAAACTATTTCAGTTTAATTTTACACACATATGAAAAACTATTCCCTCTATCATTTAAAATTCTAAATTAAATACTTACATAAGTTATCTAAGCACCATTGGGCACAAAATCCTACTTGCTTTGCCATGAACAAAGGACTGTCTATAAACTTTTCTAACTTTTCTAGAGGATTTTCAGGTTTAGAGGCCAGTTGGTTATTGATTGTGGATTTATTTATACCTAAATTGTTTTAAAAATTACAATAGATACATTTAGTATGAAAGATAAATTGGAAAAATAATTATTTGTAAAGAAAGATATCTGTATTAGTAATTTATACAACAATACAATAAGAAAATTCACTGACAGTATAAAAACAAATTATTAGATTATATAAATTCAGTGTTGGATTACACCAGTTAAACTACATACAGTCAAAAGTCGTTAATTCGGACACCCATAATCCGGAATGATCTATAATCCGGACCTCAAAGCTACAAACTTTCTGCGCATGCGTCGCGTTGAATAAGCGTTTACATGCGCGCGTAAGACCTTTACGGCTGCGAATATGCTTGTGCGCATGCTCATAAAACGTTTACGCATGCGCATTTAATGCATAACGGATGGTGTAAGCTAAGTTAAAATTATGTAATTCAGTTAATGTTGCAGATTGCGTTGTTCCTTAATCTTCGAATTGGATCCGGCTTATTATTTTTTGCAGACTGTTAGAGCAATTTTATAAAAGTAAGCTTAAACTTTCGATTATATCAAACAGAATTTCCGATATATATTTGTTAATATGTAAAGGATCTAAAGCGAAAGTATGTTTCGAAATCCGAAATCTGTTTATCAATTTCACGCTGCTCGGCGGGGGGAACGCCGCGGCGCACAATGAATTGGAAGTTGATCTGTCAGCACTATCGTTATCTTCAGGGCAGATGTTTTTATTTTATTTGGCTTATAATTCTTTACTAAATGTAGTATTTCATCTCGATGTGCTCTGTCTTTGATATGATTTAAAACAAGTTCCTCATCATTATAATTCGCTTCCGGTAGTGAAGAAAGTGACAGAGGTTATTGAAAACGAAAAAATTTCGATTGACAAATTAGTCGGTATTCTGGATACAGCAATTATAGGACTTGAACAGCGGAACTTTGTAACTAAACACGAAATTATATCTGTTTAATAGAATTAAAGAGAAAGTATTATCACATGAAACGAAGCAACTTAAACGACTTACATTGAAAGAAATGTTTAATAAAGTAAACAAATAAATATTAAGCTTTTTCTTTTTGTAAATTTTGATACCCTTTAGATCATAATTGTTCTTTATTTCATAGATTACGGTTTCATATTTTTAATTTTGTAATTTCTGCATGCCATCTTACCAGATTTAAACTGATGATCTACAATCCGGAAAAATCGATAATCCGGAATCGCCGAAGTCCCGACGAGTCCGGATTAACGACTTTTGACTGTATATCCTTTTCTCTTTCTGATCCTTTAACCCTTCACATTATAAAGAGAATTCAAACAATCAACTCACAATCCGCTTTTTAACTTTATATTCTGCAAATTCAAAAGGTATGATTTTTTTTTTTTTTTTTCATTTTACTATAATCTTTTGCAGACATAAAATATCTTATTTAGCTTTCACACACACCTGTAATTGATCCAAAGTACAATATTTACACTGTTTTGTTGTTGCTGCAAATATATTTTCAAACTAATAAAAATTAATTTGCCTTTTGATCATTTTTGATTTTTGAAAATGTTTTGCTATTCCCAAACTAATGAAAAGTAAACAAAATATTTCAATCTTACATGCAGGCGCTTGTATCTTGAGGTTCCACTGTATATGTAAATCGTACCTCACATGACAATGAAGCACAGTTAAAAAATAAGTATAATTTTGTCCCAACTATCACTTGATTCAGACCTAAGTGATATATATTTATATCCTGTTATATGTACTTCATTACTTATGTATATTTTTTTGGCCTCTAAATAAAATTGGAGGTAGGGAAGTGAGTAACACTGATTCTCAAACTTTTTCATAATTACACCTGTTTGAAAGAACAGAATTAGATGCATTTATTTAACAATACACAAAACGTATCCTTCCCTTTCTTACTTAAAGGAAAAAATATTTTTATTTTTACAACATTGCTGCTCACACTTTAACAAACTTCCTGTTAGCATACTTTAACAAACTTCCTGTTAGCATACTTTAATGATATGTATATTACAGCTGTTCAGCTGTTTGAGAACCACTGAACAACAACCAAAATTAATCTAATTAAATATGACATGAGGGAAGCTACATTTGCCTGCATACTGTATACAATATAATGATGTACACAATTGACACTCCAAAATGGAATGCTACAAAGGAAGTATTAAATAGGCTTGAAATTTGCATCATTTATAGACTATGACATATCATATATATCAAATATGATATCAAATGATTAGCAGTGTAATATGATTGCAAATCATGTGGAACATACAAGTATGTGTGAGTGTATGCTACCTAGAAACACTCTAAACACAGAAAATAGCAGATTTTTTTAAAGTATTAAAATTATGTGCTGTCCCATTATTCATTTGCAGAGAAGATTCAATAGCCATCATCAGAAGGCAGCCATTCAAACGAGTTTTAGAGTTTGGCAGAGCAGGAACTGTTGCTTATAGATGCTGTGAATAATCCTCCTGAAAAATCGGTGTTCATCTTAGATCAAATTAAACTATGGTCATATGAGTATGCATTCAGTGGGTGAAAGAGGGCAGACTGACTGATGGGAAAAATTGCACAGCCTCATCACACTAATGAATGAGAGGATAGTCATGCTGTGTATATGGAAAAGATGTATCATACAGCAATATGAAAAATTCTCAATAGCTTATGTCAATGTGTACCACTTAGCATAGTCCTTGCAAGGCATCCCTTGCTACAATTACTCGATTTCCTGCAATTTATTGCAAAAATGTGAGTGGCTACAATGTGTGTTGAATGCTAGACACAGACAAACAAATGGCATAATACTGTGTTTTCAGAAATATCTTAATTGTGCCCACTGAACTTCAACAATTGTGTGAGAGTCTAGTAACACCATGGTGACAAATACTATGACTTTTTCATTACTATCTCAACCTATCACTTAGTGTTAAGATTTAGCATGCTACAGAATTTTACTCCTATGCCTGCCTAATATATGCTGCTGGCACACTCAACAACTTTCACTACACCTATGAAGTTTTGGAGTCCACTGTCTTAAATTTCCCAGTTTGTCTTGCAACAGAACAATAGGAACAATGCATGACTGTATGCAACATTCAGCTATTCTTCATTGAGAATTGGACTGCCTGCTGCTTTGGCCACTCATTCTTCTGATATATGACTCATCGAATACATCAGGCCAATGATTAAAACCCTTATCAGACCTATAGATGTGAAACACAATAAGAAACTGAGAAATAGGTTCCTTTCAGAAGTTTAAAGGAAAATCTGCAAGAAGTATACAATATAAAAGTAAAACCTTTTTCTGATTGGTTGACAAATATGAAATAGAACTTCCAGTGAAATTTTCCCCTTAACATAACACAATATTGCAGGAATTTATGTAAAGAGACATATGCAACATTTTTCCCAAATTTGAGGGAATGATCTGCCATTCAAACTAGCTCTCAATGAAAAGCAACTCCCTAAAAAGTTTCTTTGCTTCTGCACTCGAAAACATGGCACAACCCTTCAAATCATGCTAGACGAACTTCAGCGATATGTGGAAACAGCATGAACTGGCATACCCCATGATATGCAGTTATTGCCAGCCAGGCAGTCTATGCAAAGTATTAATTTATTCATGTTCTATATGTCGAACACAGGCTGCAATTTTAATAAATTCAATGTACTGTTTATTATTAATGAGAAAACATGGCTTTGATATCTCGTGCTTTCTATGATGCTGTATGTATGGTGCTCTAAAGTGTTGTTTAAAAAGGGGTTCTTAACCAGGGGGGGGATTTCTTTGTTTCAGAGGGAAATGCAGTCAGCCTTTTATTTAGCTGTTAAAGTATTCAGTTTTAGTTTATGGATACAAAAAACTACTTTTATTCAAGTTTTGGTACTTATCAACATTTTATGCACTTTTTGTTGTTTAATTTATAAAGCACATTAGAAAATAATCTAAATCGAAATAAATGTATATATGTATTTTTCAAGTTTTGCAAAGGAGGGGGGAATGATCTAGCAATGGTGAAAAGAGAGCATGGAGCAATAAAAGTTGAGAACCACTGTTTTATAATTTTGACTGTTTATGTTATGTAGTCTGAATATGAATTATCTGAAGTGATAGAAAATGCAAGTTCATATTATACATAACACTTAGCAATTTTAGTTCAGCACAGTTTGTTAATTCAGGTAAATACATTTAAAATTAAGCTTTTTAGTTTGATAGATACTACTTTAAGCAATTATTAGCAATTATTATAGATACTACTTTATTAAAGCAATTATCAAATTGAATTAGTGAAAGTGATTTTAAATTAAATAAATATTTTAATGATATAAAAGGTTCTTTATTGAATCGATAAAATGATGAATCAAATTTAAATTTATTTGGGTACGATTAGTTATATTTTTGTTTTATGAAAATAATTATTTTAATCAATAATATGAATAACTGAAAAAATATTTCTTAGTTCACTACTTCAATAAAACATGTTTTATTACATATTTTATAAACTGAACTGAATAAATATAAAAATCAAGAATTATATAATTGCTTTCAATGATTATTTATGATCTGTCCAAGTACTGCTTATATGAGATACACATATCATTACACTACATTTTCTTTAGGTTTATAGGGTATGAGAAATATTCTGTGTAGTACATAAGTATTTTTTAAGTCAGTGAACAAAATATAATTGCAGTTAATTACAGTTTTGGCTTATTAAGAAAAAGGATAACTCTTCATTTTTAATTATTTTATATTTTACTTTGTTTAATTTGAGTTACCCTCCTGCTCAAGAACATCTGAAGGACAAAGAAAACTGTCTGGTTACTAGTAAAACGACAAAGAGTGGAAAAGGAAACCAAAAGCAAAAACAAGCTGGCATGTTAAAAAATTACATACACAGTTGTTTTGACAGTGCCAAAACAAATGACAACTCTGAGAATCCAACATCAGGTCCAGTTATATAATAAAACATGAAATTATAACAGACTGATAATGACAACAATTGGATTATATTTCTAAATCAAATGTATTTGCCATCACTCCACCATCAAATGAAAGCATCGTAAAAATTAGCACCAATGTGACTCCCACAGAAAGTGTTCCACAAACTTTGAGCACAGATCCAGCACTGCGGCTAAGAACTTCAGGAGATGACAAAAGAAGCTTTTTAGTAAGACAAGGTCTACCTAAATCACTGTATAATCCTAAATTTTCTTTTGATATGACACTGGTTGACATTTTAGTCAAATTATTGTATACAAATTTTAAGCCATGGAGTTTTATGAGACTGGCTAATGTACTCTATTTCACAAAGCTGTGCTGCAAACGTTTCAGCTGTGTGGTTAATTCTCTTTCAAAGGAGATTTTTAAAAGTTGAAAGTACCTTGTCAAATCCTTAACCCTCTGAGCATTACAAGATTTTAGATCTGTCACGAAGACCGGTATTTAAACAGCATTTATCAATTGAGTTTGAGTAATTACTTATTTTAGCCCGTATTTTCACAAACTTACATTCATTAAGATGATATTTGCATTATTAAAGTAAGTAAGAAAGCAAAAATCTTATTAAACTAATATGCCAATAGCAACTTATGATGACCGGATCCGGTCATCATAAGTTTTGCTACTTGCTCAAAGGGTTTTAAAAGACCACAAAATTTCCAAAAATCATGGCTAGAAATGAACCAAAGCTTAAAGTGTTTAAAACTATAGATGCAGCGGCTCAAAAAATTATTAATGCTGGAACAAACCATTAGCTTCTAAAAATTGCAGCAATTACTCAAATTCTTGGCAAAAGTTATCTGGCTTTTCAAGCACCAAGTTGTTTGAGTATCACAATGGTAATTTCTTAAAAACAAATGAGTTGCTATCTGAATTTGATCCCATTATGGATGAGCACATCTGTAGAGTGGGAAAAAAAAAAAAAAAAAAAAAAAAAAAAACAAACAGCTCACTATCTCAGGGTATGAGATAATGGACCCACTGCATCAAAGTGTGAAATCTCGTATTATTGACGATACAAAAAGCCAAATATTTTTCCATAATTTTAGTTTGGACTCCTGACATAAGCATAGCATAGCAAATGACTCTTGTAGTCAGATATGTTTCAATCAATAAATATGTTGCCAGTGAGGTTCAAATTAAGATGAATAAAAGCTTTTTAAGCTTCCTACTAGTTGAAAGGTCCATGAGAAAACAAACATCTGAAATTATGGAGAACTTAATTATTTGGGTTTAAACCTGCACAATATCCGAGGGCAGGGGTACGACAACAGGCTTAATGCAAAGAATGGCAGAGCAGGAGAGCAATCTAGAATTAAATAATTTAATTCATGAGCATTCTAAGCTCTGTGTAGTAGTTGCTCTCTAAATCTAATTGTTAATGATTTGGTAAAAGCATCTTTGGAAGCTGCTAATGTTTCAACATTGTCCAAAATATATATTTACTTTTCTCAGCATCTACTTTTTCATAGGCAACACTTTTAAAACTTGTTCAAGGATTAATTTTGAAACCACTGAGTGATACTAGATGAGAGAATAGGGTACAACCATTAAGATTCCATTTGGGAAATGTATATGACACCCTGCTAAGCATTTATGAAAACAAAGAAATTGATAATTCGATAAAAAAATTAAGTCTCAGATTTATTAGACTATATAAAAACAATTTAGGCTTTTACGTTCAGTAGCTGTTTAGTATAAAATACTAAACTGCATAGTATAAAATACTAAACTGCATATACTAAACTGCTATACTTAAACTGCTAAATACTAAACTATAAAATACTAAACTGCATTAATCCAATATGAAAAATACAAACAAAAGATTTTGATCTAGCAATTGTACTTCATCTTTTACGAAACAGCAAAATATTCTTCATTAATCTTTAAGAAGATTGTATAAATCCTTCAATGAAACTATTATTGATGCAAAAGAACTTGTCAAAATTGACACTGAGGCTAATTTTGAATTAGCAATAACACAACACCGTATAAGAAGTAAAAAAGTTCTCATTCAAAGCATAAGATGAACCAATCAAAGATTCAAAAGAAAAATATAATATAGATTCTTTTATTTTAGAATTGATCAAGCACTAAATATACTTGATGACAAATTTGAATATATACATTTTAACATACACATTTTAAATGCCATGTCTAAAAAAAATACTACTAAAATACTCTAAAAATTTGGAATGAACCCTTTCACAGCGGCATGTTGCTCAACTAAAAACCCTTTGCAGACGGGTATGTCATATATGCATCAGTCTCAACTATCACTAGCAGTGGGGTGATACACTGGTGCATCGCGGCTTGCATTGATCTTCCAGACAGGTATTGCATACATGCATTCTCAAACATACACCTTCTTGCAGAATTTTTTTTAAATCACTAGATGGCACTCCATGTTCACTATAGTTAGCTTATAAAGTTATACATTGTTGACCTTGTGTTCGTGAAGTACTTCCTGATTCTGATGATTCGTTTAGATGTACAGCAGATGACATAAAGTAAACAAAACCCAGCAGACTTCAGTTGGCTTCACCTGATATAAACATTGAACAGTTTCTGATGCTTCAAATTTGTTTTCTTTCCTTCCCCATGGGAAGATTAGAAGTGGAGCTGTAGTTTTAGGAACTCTGGTCTGTATTCAGTTTGCATTTTCTTTGGATAGCAGACTGAAGTTTTTTACAGGGTGATAGAGTGATATCTACGAGAAAGAAATTTTTAATGGAAGAAGTACTCAAGTATACTCAAATTGCAAATCCCATAAGTGTTCATTCGAACCCAGGTTCCCGATTTTTTTCACTATGATTTTGAAAATAACACAGTTATTGAATAAAAATGCTAGTCTAACTCTCTAATGATACCATATTTAAAATAAAATTCAAAGCAGAAGGTATAGTTAATTTCTGGACATCATTAACAATGAAAACAAAATAAAGTGAATTGTACAATGGTGCTTTAAAAGTTATAATTCAGTTTACTTCTATGTACGTATCTATGTACAAAAAGGTTTTTCATCACCAACTCGAATAAAAACAAAGGACCAAAATCAACTTGACGTGTGTCCGGATCTCAGACTTAAGCTTGTCTGCATACATCCAAATATAGAACAGCTGTGCAAGAATCAGAGGTTCATTTATGTCATAAATTGTGGGTACCAACATTTAATTTTAGTTAATAAGATAAATATTATCGAACATCTAATAGCCTTAAATTATTAAAAACACTTTTTTCCTACTAACTTAATCGATTAATACTAACATAAAACTAATGAATTTTAATTAACTGTATTTTAAAAATGTAAGTATACCAATAACTAACATATGCTAAAAAATTGCTTTCAAAGGGGCTAGAGTAAGGTGGTCTGCAAAACATTCTAATTTATAAAAGTGGTCCCTACTTGGAAAACATTTGAGAAACACCAATTTAAATAATTTTAGTATGCTAAAAGAAAATACTTTCATGTGACATCAAAAATAATTTTTAAAAAAATCAACATATTCCTTATTAGAAAAACACATGCATTATTTTATGTAAGAGGAAAAGAAAAAAATTAACTCGTACATATACTTACTAGTTTGTGCAAACTTTTCTAATGCAATTAAAGAGAAAAGGATCACAGATGTATTGAAAAATGGATCCTATTGAATAGAAAATATCATTTTAAAAACAGACTAATACATAATATACAGAAATCCACATATAGCCAGACATTACGCTGATATCAAGGACACTTAACTAAAAATCATAAAGATTTTCTTACAAAATGAACAATAACTGCTATTATACGAGATCTATCCGAAAAGTAAATTAAATTTTTAAATAGGAAACTAAAAAAGTAGCATAATAGACTTGCAATGTCATAATACATAATGACAACTTTAATATTAATATTTATTAAGATTTCTTATTGCTGAATCATCCCACCCCAACTAGCCATCAAGTATACGTACACCAAATTTGTCTCCTATATTTTTCACAAGTTAATATGTGAAGGATCTTAAAATGAATATGCTCGTGGGAAATTTTGTATTAAGATAAAAAAAAAAAAAATTGTTAAAATTTTGCTCTTTGCAACATTTGAAAGGGAACAGAACAATCATTAAAAATAATCTAACATTCAATAATAATGCATGTTAATATGATCTTCATATTGAAGTAATGCTACAACAGAAATTTATAGTTTATGAAGTTGTTGGAAAAAGCAGTAGTATATGTTTATCATAATATTTGAAATAAAAATCGAAGACTTTATAATTTCAGCATCTTAATAAACAAATATTACAACTACGAGTAAGATCTTTTGATAGCTAAATGAATAAGCAAGAAATAAACCATAGTCTCAGAAGACTTGATAAAACATTCAAATGCTAGTACAAACTCCAAATGCCATGGCAGGTGATAAAACAAGTACAATACTGAAATTAAAGTATGTCTTCACTGCAGCCAGAAATCAATGCTATCTTTTAGCAACCAAAAAATTTTAATCAAATTTAACTACCGATTTCCGTTTTCAATGGAAAGTCGCTATTAATCAAAAACACATTTCTTTCTCTATAACACTGAATGGCAAAGTTTACTGAAATACTATTAAGCATGTCAAGCTTGATGTGTGTAGAAATAAGTCTTAAATAATAAATTTATGACTCCTTTCTCTATTGTTTAGGCCAAGACTTAATGAAAATTCAGATATAAAAAAATCAAATTTAAGAGGTGCTTTCCACTAAGAAAATTACCTATCGCACCTTTATATATATATATATACTCTTTTTAGGTGCAATAGGTATATTGTGTAGCATGTATTTTTTTAGGTATATTGTGTAGCACGTAAGTATTTTTTTAGGTATATTGTGCAGTATGTAAGTATTTTTTTTTTTAGGTATATTTGTAGTACGTAAGTATTTTTTAAGTCAGAGAACAAAATAGAAATAGAAACGATATGAGCAGTTCATGGGCTGCCCTATTTTTCAGATTTTGTTTTTTTCTCAGCCAAAAAAATCATTAGTTTCAATCATAACACAAAACAAGAAAATTCACTATGAATATGGAATACTTTACAAACTGAATTTTTTCTCTATCTCTTCTGCCATTTGAATACAATATATTTACTATTTGACAAAAATATCTTCCAGCATTCAATGCAGAAGTGGGGGAATATTAAGAACTCTGCATAAAGACAGAAAGAGATACTTTGAAAAGACAAGTCTCCCCCCCCAAAAAAAATTTTCTTTTCAGATAGACAACATGCTTGAAAACAATAATTAAAAAAAGAGATAAAAATCTGATACTTTTGAATTACTTTAATGGATACAAAAACATTGCTTAATATTAGATAAAATTAAAAAATATTAAATGCAGTCTATAATTTGACCTTACTAGCCTGTCAATCTTATCTTTCAATAATGCCTGAAATCAAACTCACAATAGTATATTTACAAAATCACTTGAATAAAATAAGTTTTCCAATAAGGACTTCAGTTAATGGAATTAAGAAGCTTTTGTACACATTTAGTATTAATATTAGTGTATTATATTAGAAGCTCCACGTTTTTACATTTTATATAAAAAGCAAAATATCAGGAAAACTTAGATCCTGTACTTTTACTTGCATACCTGAATTATTATATTCAACCATTTCCTACTTACCAATGTTAAAATTATTTTGGTAGATGCCATATTCTAAGCAACCTTTTACAAACATCTTTTATTTATATGTCTATTTTAATATAATCTCAAGAACAATTCTGATTAAAATGAAAAGATGATGGGAAACATATTTATCAAATTAAATATCAAAGATGAATTCATATACCCAAAATTCTATATAAGCTTTTGCAGATAACCTGTTGTGCATCATAAAGCTGAAACTTAAACAGCACTCATTTATCCTTTCTTTACTTCCATGTTCTCTCTTTTTTTTCTTCATGCTGATTCTAACTTTAGTTACTAGAATTACTTTATTTCTTTAGCATGCATATCCAAATATATTGTAGTGACAGGAAAGTTTCCATTACAGCATGGCATAGTCATAATTTTTTTAGCATGCATATCCAAATATATTGTAGTGACAGGAAAGTTTCCATTACAGCATGGCATAGTCATAATTTTTGTTGCTTCTTTTTTGCTTCTAGCACTTAGTCACAATTTCTGTTTATGCATGTTAAAAATAATAAGATTTTTTTAAGACCAATAAAAGTATTGGGGTGGGGGCAGGACAAAACATAAGACAGAAGAAAAAGGTTACACAAGTTTTTACTAAATTTTAACTGACCATGCAAATGAGTTGAATGTGAAAGCTTCAAGAACTGCATGTGCTGATATAGTTTTAAGAAAGTTTAATTTAATCTTTAATGTTTAGTATTTATACTACTAAATAATTCTTCAGCCTTTTCATTTTACAATATCAGATTTACATTTAAAATGGTATAAAAATATGCTTTAAATAAAGAAATGGAAAATGTGAAGTATGAAAGACAACTTACAAGATTTGTAAAAAGATAATCCATTGTATCTTGTGTTAAAAGTGTTGTACTACTTGGACCTACAAGACATTTGAGGATTAATATTAACAGAAATTTACATTGGTAAATTAAAATATTTTAAACTATTATTGAACAAAATTTAAGAAAAAGGAATGCAAACAAGTTTATCTCATAAAAGAATTACTATTACACAATGAAATGATAAAAAATAGCTAAGAAACAATGTTTAATTTATTAATATACGACATCCATAGCTTTTGAGCATATAATGAAAACTACAATTCTTTATAAATTAAAATTAGAAAAAGATATTAGTTTTATTAGTATTAGACAAAACTTCACTGTAATGACAATATGTTCTAACTTTTAATTTATTCAGCTTTCCATTACTAAAAGCACATTTCATAAGTATATCAGAATTTAGCTACCATATAGTTTGAAAAGAAAACTGGTGATATAAAAGTGAATAATTATCAATATGTTGACATTTCCCATGCTAAAGATGCCTTAACTACATAAGTGACTTGTTTTCAAGAAACTGATGCACATATTGAACTTTACGAAAAACTGACATTTTTTGACAGCGAATTTGAAAAATATCAAAATAAAATCTTTATGTCAAATGTCATTTTCAACACAAAAATAAAAATTGTTGGCAAATACCATTGACTCCCTTAGCACATATATAAATGCCACCCTTTTGTTGCATGTGATTTACTCTTTTATCAGTTAGTAGGAGAGAAGTGCAATGCACTATATGTTCAAATACTTTACAAGTTTTCTTACTCTGCTATTTTTATGAATTCATCGTCACAGTAGTGTTTCTCCTGTTACAGTAAGACATCATTGTTTTGCAATTACAATAATTGAAATTATGTTTATCATAACCGAGATGAATTTTAAAATCTCTACAAATTTATTTCTCACTTTTTAAAAATTAATATTAATTTTATTTAATATACCATGACATAAATGCAAACTTATTAATATTTACAGTAAAATTCTTATAATTTTTTGTTTGTTTTGTTTATTTATTTATATAATAGGGAAATAGGTATCTCTGTTTATCAAATTATTGAGCTAAAAAACAAAAGACAGATTTGACTTACCACTGACACCGAGAAATATTTCCACTTCCTTTCATGCTTATTATAACTAATTTTAGTATTTCTCCATTTATTCAAAATATTTTTTAAAAAATAACTTTTAACTCATTACTAAGACTACCAATTTTACCAGTACATAACAAAAATCTAATTATGATGCACAAATGTGAAATACTTTACCCAAGAAACAGAATACTTTCTTTCTTGCAGGATCTATGTTTGATAAACAGAAATAATCAGAAATGTTTTGTACTTATGAGCAATCTTGTAACTAGCCAGGTATAACAGTTGCCCTGCATAGGGCCCACCTGGGAGGCAGCCCAAAATGCTGTTTACATGGAATTAATTATATTTTAAAATTTTTCTCCCTCTCTGTACAGTTTTGCCATCAGATTTCATTTTAGTTAGAACAGAGATATCTCTGCTCACCAACATGAACATTCAAACAAATGGCAAAACTAACATTTTCAATTTGTCTACACTGACTTAACTAATTTAGACTATGTTACAGTGTCAATATAGCAACGTAGTCGCTGTACTTGTGCTTTTGTGTACATGTATTTGTGAAAACAGGTAAGAATATAAATAATAACATTGTCTGACTGTAATATTTCTAGGATTTCATTAAATGACATATGACAAATATGCCTGGATAACAATGTCAATTTTGTTATGTAGGGCTTTTCTTATTTCTGTAGGTAATTTTGTTCTTTACTTATATAGTAAAGTGATTTGCAATGCTAAGTTTACTAGTTATGTACTTGTAGACTATTTTGTTTAGCATTTTTTAATAAACCATTTGTTTTATAGCAAATTTTAATAATAAATTTCATACACAATGAATTTTTGGGTTCTGTTATTTTCTGTAAAATATCTGGCTGGAAAAAACATGGGAATATGGGACATGAGGGCATCCAAGTAAATAATATTTCACCTTCCATTCACTCTATAAAATACTAGTTAGTATTTAGTTTACAATATCTTAGCACTGTTTTGTTAAAAATAATATTTGTTTAGTTTTAGTTTTAAAATGAGGGTGTGTAATGTAGCAGTCCTGCAGGGCTACTTTAAATGAGTTAAAAAATGCTGCTCTGGCTACTATACATTACAGGTACCCTCCAGACAAGTTTTTCCATGTTTACACATATGGTTCAGCAGAAAATGCGATAAAAAGGTGCCGGTACTGGAGCATATTCAAGTAATTTTAGTATTGGCATTCCTCTTGAGAAGTACTTGTGACAATTTTGATGGAGAGATAGCAGCTATAACATGAAATTAATCAAAATATTTTGTTTTTCCTTCACAAGCTGCTATTTCGTCACTAGCCAATTTTAATTATAATGAAAATGCTCAGGCTCATCCTTGCAAAATGAAACTTTCTGAGCTAAGGGAAAACAAAAACAGCATTCCCCCCCCAGTGGATTTTAAGCCATTGAGATATTTTTGGAAATGAGCAGACAGACGTACTTTCCAAGGCCAGGTCCCTTATGGCCCAACCTGACTTCGCTTTGCCTTCGCGTAATATTAAAACAATTATATATAATAAAATGAAAAATAGGAGAATAATCCTTATATGTTGATGCATCAATGGATAAGAAGTGAAATATCCTACTCAACATAAGAAATAAAATCCCCAACTTCCTTACCTCGGGATGTTGGAGTTGCTTGTTTTCATTTGACAACTGGCCATGATTATTTACAACAGACTGGAGTTAAGGATTCAGCTTGTTGCCCTCTGTGTCATCAGGATAACCTGGATGGTAACCACCTCAAGAACTGTTTTATTATTTTAAAGTTTATTGCACACAACTGTATCAAGGCTACTTTTTACCCTTGCTTTTTTGCACTCTCATCTTTTTATTGGGCTGCTCATCCACTGATGGCAGAAATGCCAAAGATTAGTGTAGGATAAAAAAAAATGTTTTTAAAAAAGTTTTTAAATGCCTAAGGAACTGTCATATGCATAAAAGAAACAAAAATTTGATGAATATAAGTCAATATTGCAACAATTTATTAAATGGCTAGGAACAGAAACAACACAGAATGGAGGAAGTGCAGAAGAGATCAGATCTGTTACTGCTTCACAAGCTGATGATACAACACTATATTTGATATCTACACCTTCAATGAAAGATACTACTCAAAGAAGCAAAATTCAGAAGTGACAACAAGAATAAGATATTTTACTACAACTGCTTCACAATTCAAAAGGGGACAAACTTGCACAAAGTACAGCAATGTCGCAAAATAATTTTAAAATGAGCATATCTTTAGAATTTCCGATACACAATTCTGCGCGCTGGAGATAAAAAAGGTCCCCCCCCTTCCGTAGAGTGTAGCCATTACTCGCTTTTAAATCGTTGAGTTCGTTACTCTAAAATTCGTTAAAGTTTTACAAAATATGAAATCAATCTTAAAACAAATTCCAAATTTGATCTTCCACATGCCGATATTTGTAGGAGGATTACGTCATTCAAAATTCGATGGCTCTGTGTTTCGTTGTTTTATCACAATGCGAGAAATATACATACATTTATGCAGATTTTTCATTATTTTATTTCTTCAAATATAATGCAGGACTCTAACATTTGGTGGCAACAGTTTGAAAAGTGAAACGGACATTTATATTAATTCAACACAAAATCGCAAAACGAAAACAATAGTCCTTCAGGGACAAAGCCCCTTTTTGGACTAATAATTCAATATTCCGTACAAGGAAGTACACATCAGATTTTTTAAATTCCTATTAGTGGTCTGCCAAATATAAAATTATATATGTAGTGGTCCGTGAAATTCTAAGGGTTGACGACCACTGCACTAGTTGGCATAACAGAAAGATACTGACTGAAGAAAGCTTTATCAATTTTATTCAATCATATGGAAAAAAAAAAAAAAAAAACTGGAGAACGTTTATCAACTGAAATTTAAATATATTAGAAGTTCATAAATTGGATATTCAGGATTGCAGGGAGCAAGGATTTCACAATGTTCCTAATATGTCTGGCAGATATAAGACAGTAAGTGCATGTATTTTGGAAATTATTAATTAGCAATATCTGTTCCATATGTACTTCATAATCTAAATTTTACTAGCGCCCATACTGCATCTGTAACTCAAATTATTTTTTTTGGTAGTGTGCAAAGATTAATCTCTTCTCACCCTCAATAACACATTGGGACATTTTAATGAAATGCCTAAAATTACCACTTAAAGATTTTCTGATATAAAGTGGTCATCAAAGGCCAGTACTATAAATGTCTCTATATACAATTACCTAAAGTAATGAAAGAACAGCAATCAACTGCAAATGATTTTTTTCAAATCCAAAAGTCCTTTATTCTGTCTTTACATACAGATGCCAGACAAGACATCATTAGTTGCTTTCGATAGAGGTCAAAATGGATATTTTCGTTGAATATGGTACCCGAAAATTTTCGCGTTTACAATAGTTCCTTTACTTATACAAGGAAGTAAAAAAACTAGAGACAGATCTTGCTATTAAATGCAGTAAAGATTTAAGAAAAAGTATGAATTTGCATGTGAAATTGAAAGTTTGAAGTAATGATTCTTACACAAAATATAGAAAACGCATCTCCATTTAATATTCTACAGCCCACCAGCGGCCGAGTGATAAAGTCACTGAACACTGGTAGTTTGGTCCGAGGTTCGAATCCCGCGAACGGGCTGGCTGCATGGGTGTTTTCGTGGTTTTCTCCATGTGTAACGTGTATACGAGCCAGTTTCCATCAGAAAGTCCTCCACGAAGGCACCCCTACTCTTAAGCAGATAGCCCTTGTGTGCTTTGCCATAATTAAATACACCTGCACCTTAATATTCTACATGCTCTTCATGATTTTGCTCTAACTGAATCTTACCCAAATATCAAACCTGCTCTTTGAATATCTCTAATCCTTTCTCTTTCTTTGCTTCAAACGAGAAATGTTTTAGCAAGTTGAAAATAATAAAAAAATTTTTAAGATCAACTATTGCAAAACAATGATTAAAAACTATTGTAATGTACTTGTTTCATTATTTTCCCAAACCTAATTAATTAAGGGGCTTAAATGCGAATTCTTACATAAGAATGGCTAACCACAGCACTACTTATGAGGGCTGTTTGATAGGTTTAGCAAATTTCTTACATAGAAATGGCTTTATAATTAATTTTTGTTAACTAAAGTATGAGAAATACAGCTAATTTACATAGCATTAAAATGAAACATTAGACATATAAATACCAGCAAGTTTTTCAGCAATACAACCAAGTATAACACAGATATTTCTGTGCCGTGTAGGATACAGTTTCCCTTTTATAGCTATTTCACTTGATAAACAAAACATTTTTGATAGTTTTGCAACAGATTCCTGCAAAAAGAGAAAAGAAACTGAAAGTTATCCAAATCAGAAAATTAAACATTTTACTTTCATGAAATAATTCTAAAATTTCTGTGGAAAAGAGTCGTACTTTTGTTGGTAAAGGGCAGTCATCAAGGAGTAATGTTATTACAGCAGGTCCCAAAGGATCATCCATTGGTATGACATTAGCCATAGAATTTACAACAGTAAGCCAGCCTCTTTCTTTATCAGCAATGAAATGGAGTTTTGTCATAGATGGGGGAGGCTCAAGGTCACTATAAGCAAATACAACTCAATTATTATATTATAAAACCAACAATTAAAAAGTTTGATTCACAAAGTGAAAAGTACATTTTTGTTAGATGCAGAAAAAATGGTCCTAGATTATGGAGACTGAAATGCAAGAAAATTTAAAATAACCACAAATGTTGTGTTTGACAAAAATTTAGGTATAAAAATAGAGGGAAAATGTGAATTGAAAGAAAATGAAATCATAGACATAAAAAAAAAAAATTATTCTGTACGAAGAAAACAAAAATGAAATTTTAGAGAACAATCGAGAGAAAAGGATTTCTACTATGAAAGGTGATAAGTTAGAAGGATGAAGACAAAAACAGAAAACGAACAAGTGACATATAAAACAAAGAATACTACCAGCAAAATTAGAAATTTCATAATGGTGTCACTCCCTGAAACAATATCAGGAAAAGGTAAAGAAAAATGTTTAAAAGCAACAGGAGGGGAGTTTTCAATTAATGATAAAATTTTTGGAAAATTTGAATGGAAGTAAAGCAAAAATATGCAATTTTTGAAATTTTAATATCAGAAGAGATGGTCAGTTCAAATATATATTTGACGTTAGAGGGTTTCAATAAAAAGGAGGAATTCACTTTGAAAAAATATGCAGGCTTGTAAGCAATGCTGCATTCAAAATATTATTTGCAGTAGCAATTAATAAGTTTGAGATGATGCAATTCAATGTAAAAATTTCTTTGCTGTATAGGAATATAAAATTGAATATTTAAATGAAAGTTCCAGAAGGCCTTGATTATGGGAATAAAATATTAGAGAGTCTCTTTATGGACTAAAACAAACTCTTTTTAGTTGGAATAATTGCTTCACAAAATTTTTAAAAAGAAAATAATCAAAACATAACTTGAAGCATGTGCATTTCAAATATGCGATTCTTCAATGATTTTAGCAACATCTCATTGGAAAAAGAACAAATGAGGAAATTTATGTAAATTATTAAAATTCATATTGAATATTTTAATTGTAAAAGATAAAGAAAATGTGAAGAAATTTTAGAAGAAATATCACGAATTTGAAGTAATTTTTCAGGACCTGAAATAATGGGATAGGAATAACATATTAAAATTCATATATAATATTTTGACTGCAAAAGACAAATATGTGAAGAAATTTTAGAAGAAATATCACGAATTTGAAGTAATTTTTCAGGAACTGTAATAAAAAGAAATGGGATAGGAATAACATTAAAATAGTTATGAGATTTCCTACGTTTTCTTAAGAGTTTTCAAATGGTTGAATGTTAAAGGAACAATTACTTACTCCAATAAGAATATCTAATGACATATTTAAAAACAGCATCTAATGAAATGGGGAGGGAAATCCCTTACATATCAGCAATTGATTATATTCTACATCTATCTAATAAAACTCATTCAAATTTAAAACTTGTTTGTTATCCTTTAAAGAAGACATGCAGAAAATCCAAGTGTAAAACATACTAAATATGTAAAAAAATTCTTAAATATACAAAAAGCATTGTAGATTTTGATCTCCCTTATTCATTATATAAATGTTCTACTTCAATAAAAGGTTAGAAAGTTTTTGTGATGCCTACTGTGCAGATGATATAGAAATGCACAAAAACACCATTTAATACGTGTGACTTTACATGAGGCAGCCATGCTAGTTGGTTGGTGTACAAGAAAACACTCAACAGCGGTGTTATCAACTACAGAAGTCCAATACATATTAGCAGCAAACTGAGTTACAAAACTTATATTAAAAACTTTTTTGAAGAAGTACCAACAAAACTGCTATATAAGTAAATTATATATTGAAAATTAAAGTGAAATTAAAAATGGGACTTAATAAAGGAAGTAAACATACTGTAATACTTTTTGTCAGAATAAGTCAAAGAATGTAATATTAATTTAGATTTTGTAACTTCTGATAATATTTTTAACGCATTAAGACCAATGAGTGAAGTTCAATAAATTAAAGAATTATTTAATTTTAACAGATTAAGAAATAAACATTTTTCCAGACTTGGAAGCATTATAATATTAAATCAAGCACTATGATAAAAATTAAACTTTATGCACAGAATAAAGGAAATAAAATTACAATAAAACACCGAGTTTACAATACATGAAATGGTAATACAGTCAAAAGTCGTTAATCCGGACTCGTCGGGACTTCGGCGATTCCGGATTATCGATTTTTCCGGATTATAGATCATCATCAGTTTAAATCGTGTAAGATGGCATGCAGAAATTCTAAAATTAAAAATATGAAACCATAATTTATGAAATAAAGAACAATTATGATCTAAAGGGTATCAAAATTTAGAAAAAAAAGCTTAATATTTATTTGTTTACTTTATTAAACAGACATAATTTTTTGTTCAGTTACAAAGTTCCGCTGTTCAAGTCCCGTTAATTGCTGTGCCAAGAATACCGACTAACTTGTCAATCGAAATTTTTTTGTTTTCACTAACCTCTCTGTCACATTCTTCATGTCTTTATCATTTTTTTGCAGCAATTCCACTTTTTGTTTGATGGACAATCGAAACAATTTTCTTTTTGTACGATCCTTTGGGAGCTCCAGAATCGGAAATTCTATTTGACATAATCGAAAGTTCAAGTTTACTTTTATAGTATTGCTCTTAAAGTCTGCAAAAAATAATAAGCCAGATCCAATTCGAAAATTAAGGAACAACGCAATCATCAACATTAACTGAAATAGATAATTAGATAATTTTAGATTATACCGTCTGTTATAAATAAAACGCGCACGCGAAAACGTATTCTGCACACGCAAATCTGCAGTCGTAAGAGTTCTTACGCGCACGCGTAAATGCCTATGCGCATGTGTCAACGCGGCGCATGCACAGAAAGTTTTTAGCTTTGAGGTCCCGATTATAGATCATTCCGAATTATGGGTGTCCGAATTAATGACTTTTGACTGTATCATATTTAAGGTTTTGTTAATATTATTGCTGCAAATCACTTACAGATTTTTTGGCTTAGGAGTAACATCTTTTTAAAAGACTTCCAGTAGAATACATTTGAATTGCATTCATATTATACACAACGAAAATAATAAAAATATTGTGCTGACTATCAGTTCAGTCACTGGAACAAGAAGTCTGGTTGAAAACAATCACTGTTCAGTGATTATTCACATGACCACCAATTGGTCAGGATCAGATTTGAAAATGTAATGTATAATATACAGGTAAGTTTAACATATGTATAACAAGCACCAATATTAAGATTCTAGTTGTAATGAAAAAAAAAAAATAAATAAAATCTGATACGGACACCACATGACTTCCTTGTACACAATATTAAATTACATGCAGTTTTTGCTGCATTTCATTTAAACTTATTTCCTTGCATTTCATTAGATATATTGCATTCGAAATAGAGATAGAGAGATGCATGTGATATATAGATTGCATCTGGTGATCAAAATGGATATTTTTATTTAAATGTGATATCCGAAAATTTTACTGATTACAATACTTACTTTACTTCGTACAAGGAAGTAAAAAATATTATAATAATTTCAATCTATGAATTTACAAGCAGCAGATAAGGTTAATACTGATTATAACAAGGAAATTATATGTGTTCTTTGATGCTTGCTATAACCACGTCTGACTTAAATTACACTTTTATATGAAATACACAACTGCTGTACAGCATGGCCTATACTACTGCATATGAAAAAAATACTCACTTGTCTACCAATGTTCTTATAACTGACAAAGTTTCTAAAACCAACTTGTCTACCATTGAAGACAATTTAGTTCCCATGAGGTCCCAAGATTGCTGTGCAGGATGATTCTGAACATGAGAAGCAACTGAGTCTGTTGTACCAGACACTGAATTGACAGACATCCTGGGTAAGGGTGGAGTGACCGTTTCTTCATCAGACTCTGACTGTGCTTCTTTACACACACAGATTCCCATTCTTATGTTATACAAATCACATATTTATTATACAACTTCTGTACATGAGGGAAACTTGTTGCATACTTTGTGGGCACTTATATAGAATTCCTGTTTGTAAAATATGAAGTGTGAAGATACTGCCATTTTATGATGTATAAAAAGTAGAAGAACATTTAGTAAAACACAGAAATTTAAAAAATTCAGCCAGATGAGATTACTCAGCTAAGTGCAAAGATCAATGTAGATAATTCTTTAAATTTTCTTCAACAGCATCAGCCATCTATAAAAGATTTTAAAAAAATAAATTAGTCTTAATATTATGACACATTTTTAAAAAATTACTTATTTAAAACATAGCAATTAATATATAACTAATAATTAAAAAGAATGCACTCATTTAAAAGACAGGAATTATTAATAGTAGATAACTAACTGCTAAATAACATGCATATTAAAAGACTTGGCATCTTCTATTGCTTTTTTTTCTGCACAATAAAAATTTAATTCTTAAAAAGACAACATATAAATAAACTGAACATGATACTTAATATTTCAAATACATTAAATGGTAAAAAACATCTAGGAATCCTGTTGGAATAAACTAGTGTCACTTTTGAATAATGAAATTCGGAAACGTCAAAAACAAACGATCACAAAACAATATATATTGACTAGAATGAATTCTACTTATGGGCCAATGCAGAAGTCTTAAAAAGATTTCGTACTTGCACTGTATTTCTTTTTAGCATGCTACCTTCTTCTATGGAATATACTCTTGATAATATTGCTGCCTAATATATAAGCCTGAAGATATTTAAAACTTATAAATTATCATCTTTTAAGTTCTTTATTTTAACACACAGATTTAAATGTTTATAAAGACTGTTAACTTTGGTTTGTGTTCTATTTAAGCAAATTATCAATGTGTTCTATTTGAGTTAAGCTAATTAGCCAGTGGATCATAGTGCAGTCTTACATTGGACTTAAAAGTTCCGTGAAGAATGTGCCAGACATACAAGGTAACATAAAACCAGGAAAACCAAAAGTGTCAGCAAATGTAGTAAGTATAACACTCGTAATGCATGGAAAGGAAGAATATCATTGAGCAGCATGTTACTATTATAGCATGTTGAATGAATGGTTGAGAAAATTGTGGACAAAAGTGCACACACACACACACACACACACACACACACAAACAAAACAAAACAAAAAAAAAACTTGTTTAGGAATGTTAGAAGATGAATACATTGAATGCTAATGCACATCTGTACTTGATTTGGCTGTGAAGATCTGCTGACAAAGTAGAAATATGATGTTTTACTTCATCTGCTATACATAGTTCCATCACACCTCAGATACTTCCCCAATTTGAAAGAGCTCCAATGTGGGTTGCATATTTCCTCACTGAAAGACAATTCTTCAGCGATTATCCAAATCATTGAAAGGCTGAAAGAAAATTGATGCTCATTCATAAATACAATCAAGCCTCCATTAGTGGACATTCATAAGACCATAGCTTTTCTCTGTTATCAGGGAGTGTCTAAGTAACAGGAGCATATTGATCTCAATCTAGAAATTTAAAATTTTGTCACTGATGAACACAGAAAAATGAAATGTCTGTTCATGGGGTTCCAACTATATTAAAATTTTTATGTGACCTGTAAACATTTCATAGAGGGCTAGAAAATCCAAAAGATTATAATCCAAGCTACTCTCCCTAAAAAAATTCTGGATTTCCTTAGAATAGCAAATAAACAATTTAGAGATATAATACAAAAAGATTACTTTTCAACTGTTGACAATTATATTTTCTTTATTGAAGAAATACTTAAGCCATTCTTAAAGTACTGTTGCGTGTGTCAGATTTGTAATAGATTGAATACACTCACCGATGATAGCTTGACAAAATTAATTTTACTATAATAAACATTTCATAGTTCTAGAACTTTGCACAAAAATACTCATGCAGCTCTTCACAGTATCCTTTAGTACAATCAATAGTTACACTTTAAACACAACACCAAGCAAAGCGCATCTAAAGAGTGCAGCTAACATGGAGATATCTCAATACTCCGAACACCTGCTGAACTAAACAACTGAGAAACTGATACTCTTTCCCATCTTATATAGTTTTTCCTCGGCCTCCGAGAAATGTCAAGTGCTTTCCACTTCTCAAAATTACTGGAAAGCATATGAGGGCCAGATATGGTTACAGTTACATACATAGATTAATTAAACTTATTCAACTATACATTATAGGGCACTTTCTTTGTTGTTCTTACTTTGCCCCGAGACTAAAACGCCAGTCAACCGAGATATCTCACCAAAATCTGGTTACGTGTTCTTATACCTTGCCGTGTGATCATATATTACCACCAGCAGCCAAGCGGTAAAATTGATGAACATTGGGAGTTCGGTCCAATGTTCGAATTCTCTGAACAAGCTGGCTACGTGGGCATTTTCGTGGTTTTCCTCATGTATAATGTGTATACAAGCCAGTCCTCTATGAAGACATCCCTTCCCTTATGCAGATAGCTTTTGAGACTTTGCCATAATCACATACACCAACACACCACCGGCTGTAAGCTCTTATACCTCACCACGTAATCATATATTAGCACCATGTTGCATTTTTCCTCTCACTGGATGTTCTTATATTATTAATTTTTATGAGTTTTTTGAATTCACATTGTTTATTTCAAAATAACTCATTGCTTTTTTTTTTTTTTTTTTTTTTGTGTGTGTGTGTGTGTGTGTATGTGTGAATATTACATTCATCTTTAATTTACCAAGTAATGAGGTGGATGTCATATTTTTTCAAGAAAGAGGTCTTTTACCTGACAAATGAGTATGCGAAAATAGCCACAGCGTAAAATTATGTTAATGATGAAACCATTTGGAGGTGTAATGTTAAAAATTGCAAAATGAAAGGCCACCAAAATTGAAATTGGTTCAGCAGGTTCCAGAATATCATTTGTCAGTGCTATTAGATTTATGTATTCTTGGGCAGAGGAGTTGATATCCATGAAAAGGTGTCACAAACAGTTTAATAGTAGTGCTGCAGGTGACTGGAACAATTATATGTGCCAAAATAATAATTAAAAGGATAGGGATTCTTAAATATTCTTAGGAAACCACTTGTGAGTATTATTGTTATTACTATATAATGTGTCATTTATTTTTACATTTGTGCTTCACGAGCATGGCAAAATTATACGCTGAGATCTTGGTGCAAATCTAAAATCACCAAATATGGTTGGGGGCCGATATAACAAAAAAGTACCTATCATAGTTATACAGGGACTGGACCAAAATATCGCCAAGTTTGACAAATTTTGGTGATTTCTAAACTAATATGGCAACAAAAATTAGTCACCAAAACCCTTACCAGCTTGGCAATATCTCATCAATTTAGAGAAATAGCCATTTACTTAGTGTTAAATTATATTTGCCACTGTATATTTATTTTTATGGCGTAGCTTCGTCTCTTTCAAGCATTTCATGTTACATAACACAAATGATACTACAATTTCACTTAAATTATTTACATATGTACAAAATTCATAACAGTATCTACTATTCTTCAAAATTATTTGCAAATAAACTTAGACAAAAGAAATGATGAGGCAGGTATTCGGATGTCTGACGTTTTTAAGTTTTCTCCCCTTTGTTCCAAATAATTAATAATAAGTCATTATAACATTTAATCATTTCTTATTCAACATGGGCATATATCAGACCTCATATGTTAAAACAGACAAAATGTCTCCAATAATGCTGCTGACACCTTTTTAAAAATGGCTCTTACAATTGTTATTAATTTAGCAGCAATTCAATTTCATTCAGACAGAAATACACTTTTTAGGTTTATCCATATGCAATTCAAGTATAGCATTGATATATATAATTAGGATTTTTTAATTTTCCAAAATAATACAAGAGAGCTTCTTCTTAAGAAACATGTTAAAAATGATGGAGAACTATTTTATTCTGATATCACAGACAGTTTGCTCTAACAAAACTTTAAAAAATGTCAAGAAACTTTCTGATTTATCCTCACCTTCATCAAAATTCCGAGAACTTGTTGGCAACTTTAGACAGCATTTGCAAACTGTTGGCAATTCATTATTGGCCAAGCTAATGCACCAAAGGAAAAACAGCAATAATAATCTAATTCTTAAAAAAATCTCATTAATTTTTTTGTGCTGTTGTTCTTCCCACATACACTAAAGAAACACTGGAGTAGTCTGTATTTCGGGATACTCCTTGGGCTATAGTCAAGCTATTGTTTCATTTATGATAACATGAATATTTTATGGTGTATGTTTTGGAAATCCTATCATGACGTGATTGGTTGTAATGAGTGTTTACAGTGATTTTGATTTCTCAGGGATTATTTCTGCATTGGATGTCGCTCAGTAAGTACATTGCTCATTTTGTGCTTTATACCATAAAATGCCTGCCTATGATAAGATTAATCCGAAGTTTCTGTTGTACGATTTGGAATGACTACGAAAAAATCATTAATTGACTGGTGTGTAAATAAAGTTTTACTTAGTAAACATTATATGTGTTCTGTATGTATGAAAGAAATGCATATGGTCGAATGTAAAGATCATTCAGATGGCTTTGAATGGATTTGTTCAACTCTACAGAGTCCGACAGTCCAGCACTACAGAGGATATTTTTTATTCTCATTTTTGTGAATTCATGTGGCGATGGCAGTATACAGATTCTAGTTCAGATAAATTTTAGACAGTTTTTGGATGCTGTTAAGGAATTCTGCTTGCTACATACCGAAGATACAGAAATTTCTAAATAAGGTAAGTCAATATATCCTTTTTGTACTGCATACATTAGATAACATGTATTTCCATTCTTATGTTATTTCTTTCTTTGATTTAAAATGCATTTTACTGAGATTATATATTTTGTTTCAATTATGATTTTTAACATTATGTTTTGGACGCTATTTTACCGGATAGGGCGTTGCATGTGAACAGGAATGGTGCCAATAAATCGATAATTTTTTGCCAAAGGGTACCCTGAAATATATTTTTCCCATAACACTGTTTTCACAAGAAAAACTCGGATTATCTCACAAATTTGACATTATGCATAACTTGGCATTGCACCCCAGCATAAATAATTTCCCATAGCACACCATACATAAATTCGTTGCTATTACGATACAGTACACAGTCCGTAATCCGGACCTCAAAGCCACAAACTTTTTTTTTTTGTGTGTGTGTGTGTGATTATGGCAAAGCCTCAAGGGCTATCTGCCTAAGGGAAGGGATGCCTTCGTGGAGGACTTTCTAAGGGAAACTGGCTCGTATACACGTTACACATGGGGAAAACCACGAAAACGCCCATGCAGCCAGCCCGTTCGCGGGATTCGAACCTCGGACCGAACTACCAGTGTTCAGTGACTTTACTGCTCGGCCGCTGGTGGGCCCAAACTTTTTTTTGTATGCTTTAGGCATGCGCGTTTAATGTATAACAGACATTATAAGCTAGGCTAAAATTATCTTTACTGATTCTAAGGCATTTCAGTTAATGTTGCAGATTGCGCTGTTCCTTAAACTTCTAATTGGATTCGGCTTATTATTTTTTACAGACTGTTAAACCAAATTTATAAAAATTAAGCTTGATCTTTTGATTATGTCAAAAAGAGTTTCTAATTCTGAAGATCACAGGAGGATGTGTCTCCAGATACGTTAAAAAATGCTTGGCATAATTTATGGCCAGCTACCATATTTCATGGTGAAGACGATGAAGATGATAGCCACGAATTTGAGGGTTTTGAGACATCGCAAACTAAAGCTGAAATTTTCCAGTTAACTGGATTTTTTAAAGGAATGTGGAGAAGCAGTAATAAATGATGATGATATAACAGAAGTTTTTCATTGCGACGACAATGCCCCAATTATCAATCAATTAACGGACGATGAAATCTGTAGTATGGTTCTAGATCCCGAAAATACCGCTTCCGATAGTAAAGAAAGTGACAGAGAAGTTATTGAAAATGAAAAACATTTCGATTAACAAGCTAGTCGGTATTCTCGACACAACCATTACAGGACTTGAACAGTGGAACTTTGTAACTGAACAAGAAATTATGTCTGTTTATAGAATTAAAGAGAAAGTATTAGCAAAAAAAAAAACGAAGCAACTTAAACAACTTACATTGAAAGAAATGTTTAATAAAGTGAAAAAATAAATATTAATCTTTTTTTTTTTTTTTTTTTGTAAATTTTGATACTTTTGATACCCTTTAGATCATAATTGCTCTTTATTTCATAAATTACAGTTTCATATTTTTAATTGTATAATTTCTGCATGCCATCTTACCAGATTTAAATTGATCTATAATCCGGAAAAACCCCTAATGTGGAATCGCCGAAGTCCCACCGAGTCTGGATTACGGACTTTGTACTGTATATGGCTATCTTCAAATCAATTTCCAGCCCACATTCTAACAACTGTGCTTGTTATTTTTCCCATTCCCATAAAATTCCATCATTTAAAGAATACAACATAGAATGTGGATTTTTGCATTCCCTATTGCTCTATATTTCAGTAGAAACACAGCACTGTCTTTTTCATCAGCTGACAAACTTGACACTCCCATTACAATTCATTATATGAAAAACAAATATAATCAATGAAAAAAAAAAAAAGACTAATCAGGAAAATGATCGTTGAAATTCCAAAAGTGCAAATCCATGTAAACGAACGTGTTACGTGAACACCTGGGTTGCCACATAAAGACACTTTTATCATAAATCATCACGTTCCATAAAATTTTGCTTTGAATTTTACAGATTATTTTTCAATATAAATTTAAACTGAACACACACTAGTTAGAATCAGTATTGTTTCTAATAAAATTTTGATTTTGCTTTAAAAATGGTTCAGAAATATGAAAGGTCACATACTCTGTATTCAGCAAATTAATTCACACTGAGAGAAGAGTCAATCAAAACCAGGAATTCATATCAAGACATGAATTATTTTTCCTTGATACCCAGACTTAATGACTTTAACTGGAATGACAATAACTGAAATGAAAGAGAAACTAGTCAGTGAAATAAATGGCAGAAAGCAATAATAAATACATATACAATACATACAGTAGTTACACCTCTTGGATTTTCTAAAACTTGGATTACTTGGGATTTTTCTAAAACATGATGCAAAAAATTAATAACTTCAAAAGCAGTTTGAAAAAAGAATAATTTTATGAGAAGAGCATTTTTTACAGATATCTAATTTAATGGATCTTTCTCACTACAGCTGTCTGATTAAAAATACAATCCCCCCTAAAAAACTATTATCTCATATACCATAGTTTCTGGAGAAATAAATAAATCTTTATCTACATTTACATAAATTTCTTAATTTTCTTCTACTCTTTTTTCCCCCTGCTCATAATACTGTTATCCAAATAATGCTGCAAGAGGCACAATGTAATCATACTTCATTCACTTCCTGATACATACGGTGTTTATATATTTTTAAAATGATTTAGATAATGAATGACTGAATGAAGATAATGAAAGAATGAATGAATTTTAAAAATGATTTAGATAAATAATTTTAAAAAAAGCAAATATTTTGGAACAAAATTTTTGACAACAGCTTATTGAGATGAAAAATATCGTCTCCTAATTTAAAATGTATTCTTTTGTAATGTCGCATGTAAACAAGCTTTGGATCGAAGCATGAGTTTTTGTGCTTTTCAAAGAGAAATATTCCCATTTCATAACTAAAAAATGTTGTGAAATATGAAGTATTACAATTTATAAGTGTAAAATAAGCAACATTATTAATACAAAAGGGAAACACAATCAATCATTACTTCTGCGTGGAAAGAAGACTCTCCTAATGGATACCAGAAAAAGTTTCTAATGTTTCTTATTGTTGGTAACAAGAGAAAATGTAAATGCAGAAATCAATTATAGAGAAACATGGTTCCATCAATGCTAATAAAATTTCAATTAGGGGTTTATGCTTGCCACAGGATTCTTTTACACTGAGAAATTAAAAATAAGAAGAATGGGGAAAAAAAATTTTTTAATCAACTTAACAGTACATAAAGAGAAAGTTTCACATTCGATATTTGTTTGGGATGTGAATGGTTGGATTGTAACACCACATTAAAGTACTAAAGAAATAACTGTTTGTGTCTCAATTTAAGTGAAGGTTCAAAACAGCAGACATAAACCATAAACTCCACACAGGACATGGTTTGAAGGCTCCTAAGCAAACTCATAACGCAAGATGGTGAGGAGGATCTAATTTCAATATAACAGTAGATCCTGTTGTTCCAAAAATTTCTGAGCCATGATCCAATCTAATCAGACTAGTACTGTAAGTATGAAGCAATAAGGAACATTCAGAGCTCCAAGTGTTAGCCAGAACTTATGAAGATTCAGCAGTTTAAGACAATTCTTCCTCTAGTACAGTAGTATTCCAACCTTATGGCAGAGCGACCCCATAAAAATGCAAATGACATCAAAATATAATTTTGAAATCCTAATCAGAGTGTTGACCCAAAAGTTATATGCCATCAATTCAGCTTTTTTTAGGATTTTTATGCACCTTGCAAGACCACTATAAATTTACGCAATCCAAAACTGGGACACATAGTTTGAACATCACTGCTCTAATACAAGACATATGGAAGGAAAGTTAGTTTTTTGTTGAACACCACTCTTAAAAAGGATAAAAGGAAAAAAAACTTCAGATCATATGGTAAAAAGAGATGTCTTAAAAATCCTATGAGGTTGATGCAAGGGTTTCTAAAAAGATCCGTTAAGTGATTTTTGGGCCAAAAATCGCCGCTACACAAAGCCAAAATACCAAGACAAAAAATTGCACAAACTTGGTATCCATGCACACATCAACCTATTTTCACTTAAAAAACATCCCAGAATTGCACAAAAATGGCATTGCACACTCTCTTGATTTTATCCATGTACACATCGACCTATTTTCACTTAAAAAAACATTAGGGAATTGCCCAAACTAGGCTTTGCGTACTCCCTTGACTTTGTCCATGTACACATCAAATTATATTCACTTACAAAGTCAAAGGAGCAGCCAACAAAAAAAATATATAATCTGAATAAACTACGCTTTTAATCAAACAATGAAAAAACATAAAAAAGGAAAATCATCTTAGCACTACACGAAAGAAATATCCACTTACTTTATTTATGAATTTACGTGTCTTCAGTCAAACAAAATTCCTTAACAGCATCCAAACACTTCCTAAAATTATCTGAACTAGAATCTGTATACTGGTGTCACCACATAAATTCACAAAAATAAGTGCAAAAAATATCTTCCATTCAAAAATATCCAATGTTCACCCATACACATTTCCTTCCTCCAAACAGGACATTTAATAATAGCTACTAAGTAAACTTTCATTTACACAGTCAATTAATGCCTTTCCCTTTTGTTCCAAATCCTACATAAACTTCAAATTAATCTTACCACATTCAGCCAATTTACTATGTAAATCATAAAATAAGAACGTACTAATCCATCACACACAAGCCCTTACCCAAAATCCGACACACACTTTTCAAATTTTTTCCCATGATTCAAATTCACCGCAATCAATTACATCATAATAGGGTTTCCATAGCATTCAACTACTCAGGCGTCATAAATGAGACAACTTGGCGATAAATGAAACAACAATTTCACGATAATACAAGGGGTACCCTAAAATCACTTCTAATCAAAACTTGAATTTTATCTCGCACATATACATAGATATATATATATCGGATTTTAACCAAAGTTTCCCGCCACTGCAGGCAGTTTGCGTTGGCATGTTTAATCATATTTTGACAAATGATTTTTGGCATTTGAAAGAAAAAGACTTGATTTAGAACACTGTACAGTCAAAAGTCGTTAATTCAGACACCCATAATCCGGAATGATCTATAATCCGGACCTCAAAGCTAAAAACTTTCTGCGCGTGCGCGTAAGACCTTTACGACTGCGCATATGCGTGTGCGCAAGCGCAGAATACGTTTTCGCGTGTGCGTTTAACGTACAATGGACGGTATAAGCTAAAATTACCTAATTATCTATTTCAGTTAATGTTGATGATTGCATTGTTCATTAATCTTTGAATTGGATGTGGCTTATTATTTTTTGCAGACTGTAAGAGCAATTTTATAAAAGTGAACTTGAACTTTCAATTATGTCAAATAGAACTTCTGATGCTGGAGCTCCCAAAGGATCTACAAAACGAAAGTATGTTTCGATGTCCATCAAACAAAAAGTGGACTGCAAAAAATGGATAAAGCATGAAGAAGGTGACAGAGAGGTTAGTGAAAACGAAAAAATTTTGATTGACAAGTTAGTCGGTATTCTTGGCACAGCAATTACGGGACTTGAACAGAGGAACTTTGTAATGAACAAGAAATTATGTCTGTTTATAGAATTAAAGAGAAAGTATTATCACATAAAATAAAATAACTTAAACAACTTACATTGAAAGAAATGTTTAATAAAGTAAACAAATAAATATTAAGCTTTTTTTTTTTTTTTTTTTTTTGTAAATTTTGATACCCTTTAGATCATAATTGTTCTTTATTTCATAAATTACGGTTTCATATTTTTAATTTTAGAATTTCTGCATGCCATCTTACGAGATTTAAACTGATGATCTATAATCCGGAAAAATCAATAATCCGGAATCGCCGAAGTCCCGACGAGTCCGGATTAACGACTTTTGACTGTATTGTGAAATTCGTAAAAAAATATTATCATTAAGTAGAAGGTGTCTGAAATGGAAATACCATGCTACCAGATTAGAACCATCATTTAATTTCAGTTCTCTTACAAAAAGTCAGCTACAGAATGTCACCAAATCTTGTGTACAGCTGCTTTAGGAACTAATGTTGTATCACATGACACTGTCAAGGTTTGTTGCTGAAATTTCAAAAACAAGGATTATAACATTCAAGACAGAACAAGCAGCAGAGTGCTCTGGCCAGCCTACTGATGTTAATGAGTGAACCTGTGGAAGATCAGTATGCAACCACTCAAAAGCTTTCTAAGACATTGGTACCATGTCCATTAGTAACGCTATGCATCACATAAATTCGACGTACAAGTTCAATCGGTGGTTGCTGCTTGAGTCCAGCACAAATGTGCTCAAATATCAATGGAAGGACAAAATTCTGGACTAGATCATCATTTGCGATGGAAAGTGGATTTAATTCAACAACGCAGGCAGTAAAAGTATATTTACGGGTATCCCTTGGCAAAAATTGGCGATTTTTGACGGTACATGGATATGTGCAATTCTTTGAGTTGTTACTTTGGCTTTGTGTAAAGCACAAAGACAAAATAACAAGTCAAGAATTGCAGAAACTCAGTATCCATGTACACATTGACCTATTTCCACTTTAAAAAAAAAAAAAATCACAGAATTGTGCAAACTAGGCATTGAGCAATCTATCCCTTTATCTATGTACAGGTCGACCTATTTTCACTTAAAAAAACATCAGAGAATTGCACAAACTTGGCACTGTGCACTTCCTTGACTTTGTCCATGTACACATCGATATATTTGCATTTAAAGGAGCAGCCAATTCTAGGTAAAAGATTTACATTTACATTAATTTAAATACTCAGGTTACCATAAATGAAACAACTTGGCGATAAATGAAACAACAACTATGCAATAATACAAGGGGTACCCTTTAGTCTACTCTAACCACACAGGAAAAAAAAAGGGGTTGGTCTGTGCACGTTGAGCCCCTAAGCAGCATTGCAAAATGCACTTTGACTAACAAAAAGATCATGCTTTGTAATTGGTGGGATTGCCATGGTATTATCCACGAAGAGTATCTGGAAAAATATAAAACCCTCAACAGTAAGGTGTACAGAGAGATGATAGTCCGTGTTGACACTGCTATCACAGAAAAATGTTGAACTGACTTCCGATGCAAAAAGGTAATGTTCTGTCAAGAAAATGCAAGACTATGTGTCTGCATTTACCAGATGAACTCTGTATGGATTCGAATGGGATCTTTTGCCACACCCACCATATAGCCCTGCCATTGCTCCTTCGAACTTCTATCTTTTTTTTTTTACACCTGCAGCAACATCTTGCTGGTGGTATCTTTCATTCTGCACAGGACGTCCAAAATGATGTTGGTCTGTTTTTAGACTCACAGCCACCAAGTTTCCGGGCTGAAGGCATTGAAAAATTACCAAAACGTTAGCAGAAAATCCTAGATTTGGGTGGTAATTACTACCCGCATTATAAGAACTGCTTTCATTATTTTTTTTTAAACTTTATCAAGAACGTTTTTTGTTTTTTGGTGGAAAACTTTCATAACAACCACATATAAATTTGCTTATTTAAGCTCAATGGGAGTATCCTATAATGACAGCTTGATTTAACAAAGTCAATTTGATAACTACAAAATATGCACTACGATATACACTCAAGAGCCAAAACATTATGACCACCTGCCAATAACGAGTTTGGCCACCTTTGGCGCGCAACACAGCTTCAACCCGCCTTGGCATGGATGCCACAAGTTCTTGATAGATGGCCGGAGACAGGTTGTACCAGATGTTGTAGCAACGGTCACGCAAATCCGAGATATTGCGAATTGGTGGTCTTTGACATCTGAGCTGTCGTCCCATGACATCCCAAATGTGTTCTATCGGATTGAGATCTGGTGAGTTAGGCGCCCAGGACATTAACTGGAAATTAGCATCATGTTCCTGGAACCACTCCAACACAATTGTAGCCTTGTGACACGGGGCTTGTACTGTTGGAACATTCCATTTCCAGCTAGAAAAACACAGAGGCCATGTAAGGGTGCAACTCGTCCGCAATGATGTTCAGATACCCTGTAGCATTCATCTTCTGCTCTACCACAACCACAGGTCCCAGAGACGCCCAAGAGAATGTCCCCCAGGCCATAATACCGCCAACACCGGCCTGTGTATGACCTACTGTGCATTGACCTAGCAACAGTTCGCCTGGAAGACGGCGTATCCTGATGCGGACATCGGCGTGATAAATGACAAACCGTGATTCATCTTGACCAGGCAACTATCTCCCACTGATCCATGGACCAGTCGCGATGTTCCCGGGCCCAGCGCAGGTGCAGTTGGCGATGAGGCTTGGTCACAAAGGCATACAAGTGGGACGTTTGCTGCATAGCACCATATTCAACAGTGTCCGCTGATCAGTCTGCTCCGATACTTTTCTACTTGGCCCTGCATTGTATTCGGCTGTCAGCTGAGCCACTGCGTGGACGTCCAACATCATGTCGTCTACTGCTGGTTTTACCGTCATTCATCCACTTTTCATACGTATTAATAACTGTAGATCGCAAACAACCCACAAGTCGTGCAGTTTCGGAAATACTTGTCCCGAGCCTTTGAGCCATTACAATCTGCCCTCTATCAAAGTCCCTTCGATCCGCAGCCTTTCCCAACACACACAGAAGTAAGTGAAAGAATGATTCTTCAGACTCTCCAGCAACAGTTAAATACCACTTCCACCTGATCACTTCCGCGTCATCTAGGCACGTTCATCGCAAAATGTAGGGCTGGTCATAATGTTTTGGCTTTTGAGTGTACACTCTTTTGCAAAAAAATCGAAGCACCAAGAACGACTTTTGCGATCTTAATGAAGTTTCGTATGCAAAAACATCTTGATCGAAGATGCAAATGATCAAAGTTTCAAGGTAAATGAACAGGAATTGTGATCATAACGCACATTTCTAGTGCGATTAAAACCAGTAACAGAGGTGGAAAAATTATCTTTTTTTTTGTTGCTGCCATTGTAATTCAGTAAAGAAGCAACTAAAGATGCCATTACGATGATATCGAAGACCGTACAGACAACTAAACAACTTTGAACATGGTCGCATTGTAGGGTTGTGTGAAACTGGGTGGTCATAGTGAGCAATACGTTGCCACCTTCAGCGTACAGACACTGCTGTGCAAAATTATTGGCAGTAATGGTTGCTACAAGGAAATTGCCGACAAAATGAAGGCTCTGGAAGGACAAGGAGCACAAATGCGAGGCAAGATAAGATGATTGTTCGCCAGCGCCAGGCCCGTACCGTCCCAATGGTATCATTGTCGACTATTTAACACACTACAGCTAAGTATACATCTCCCTTGGTACCATCCACGATCTCACAGCCCCTGTCTGAGGCAGGGTTACGCTCACAGAGGGCTTTAAGACGTTTGCCTTTGACCCCCACAACATTGGCAGAGTCATCTAGAGTGGTGTCGCTGCCGATCATCATGACTTGGGGCCAGCGGTCCCAATCAGCCTTTGTTTTACAAAGGCATACATCCATAACCCCTGGTGTGATGGTGTGGGGCACTATTTTTTATGACAGCAGGTCATCTTTAGTCATCCTCCGTACACCTTTAACACCTCAACGATATGCTGATACCATCCTGCGGCCGGTTGCATTACCCTTCATGGCACGTCATGCTGGGGACATTTTTAACAAGATAATGCCAGGCCACATACTGCTTGCATACCTCTAGACGGTCTCCATACGGTTGATACTCTTTCTTGGCCACCAGACCTTTCACCAATCGAGCATGTCTGGAGCATGGTAGGCCGCCAGATTCAGGCACCACAAAATAGTGCGGATCTGAGCGACAACTGATGAATGCCTGGCAGAATGTGTCGCAGGATAACATTAGGAACCTCTAACACTCCTTGCCTCGACGAATTCAAGCTTGCATTGCGCCAGGGGCGTTTTAACGAACTACTAATTTGAAGACTTAATGGGTGATTGTGAGCCGTGAACAGGTACTATGACCTTAATTTTTCAATCATTTTATTATCTGTGTTTGAGGTACACACATATTCAATTTCATCAAAAACAACCACTTCCTTCATGGTGCTTCGTTTTTTTGCAAAAGAATGTATATGTAAATATATATATAATATAAATACATATATCAAATAAAAGTATAGGCAATGCTATATATATAGCTGAAACACATCTAATTTGGTATACATCCCATTTGGATGTGGAAATTTGTGTTTGGTTTCTGACATTTGCTTGGAATATAACTTGAGTTAGATAAGTCTTGACTGCATACCAACACTTGTTCACCTCTTTCAAGGGCAAGGCTATGACTACCCATGGCCTGTTGCTATTATTCAGTAAACAACCCACATTATAACTCTGGATTTTCATGTAAATGTTTTGTAAATTCATTAATAATTAATTTTAGGTAAGTTAATAAGAAGAGCCAAGTAATGACAAAAATTGTTAGACCCACAGAGAAGCAAAAAGAAAAAAAAAAAAAAGATTGTTGAAAAAGTGTGAAGCTGTCATGCAAATCTAGGACTTGCCTAGTGCAAGCCAATTTCCTCATGAAGGTCTTTATTAAACAGTTTTCTCACAAGGTCTTTAATAAAATTAATAAAAATGAAGATGAGTTTTGTTCAGCTGTAAAATTAGCAATTTGTCATATCTGTACTGTCATCGCTGTTCAGAACTCTGAATTCACTAAATTTCCAAATTCACTAAAATGCACTTAATATCACAGCTGAATTTCCAATACCTCAAATATCTTACATTTAATATCACAGCTAAATTTGGGCTCAATTTTCGAATTCACTAAAACGTACTTAATATCACAGCAGCTTACAATAAAAGCAAAATACCCAACTTAATCTCACCCCCCCCTCAAAAGAAAGATATTAACCGGAATATCTGTTTTTGCAACACAAACTAAGATCCGTTGCTCTATAACTTTCTGGTGTAATATTCCGAGTTATAATAAACAACATATGCATGGACTGATAATTTAAAGGTCCTCAATGATTACACTCAAATATATATCGAAAAAAATCTTATTTTATTTTAAATAACACACGCAAAATTACTCCACAGCTAATGATCAGAAAAGTCTTAGAGTTGAAATTATCATAATACACATTCAAATAAATGCGATATAAATATAGCTCAATTCTAAAAAGCAACGAATGAAGATTTCCCTGACAGTTCGATTTTTAAATTTAAACTTAACGAATCATACTGGTAATAAAACTTTCATTTAGATTATTAAACTGAAAATATTTCACAAATTCCCATGCACATAAAATTAAAAATCAGAAATCTATTTCAGACAATTCATTTTTGAAAGGTGATCTAATATCAAATTAAGGATTAAAGAGCTTAAAATCCACTTTTTTAACTCTGAGAAAGAAAAACAGTTACAAGCGAAAGTCCATGATTTAGTTCTCTATGATAAAATTATCAATTATTATAGGCAAATTTACATCTAAACTTTCAAATACATACTTTTACGTTTCAAAATCAGGAACTTTCACATGCAACCATACAGCAAACACACATACCTTACGGAAATTTTATGTTGCCATCACTTATATAGTGAAAGAAAATGGGTATTAAAAAATGTGCAAATATTTGAAAGTTAAATTTGGAATAATTATCCTAGTTTACGTCATTACATGCTTCTAATGAACTATTATAGATTTTGTAATGAAGTTTGTTCCGAATTTATATTCTTTGTAACATCGAATGGATTATTTAAGTTAAAGTAAGTTTTTAATATAGTTATCCTGCGTTATATCATGGCAGTCACCGCCCAGTCGGTATGATGGTCAGGAATGCTGACTGCCCTGCCGAAGGGCCTGGGTTCGAATCCCGGAGAAGGCATGGTTGTAACTGTCCTTCCCTTCATAGGAAAGGCGATGGTGACCCACCCATTAGGTGCCTCCATAATAAAGATACCACCACGTCCGGCCTTGTATACATAAATGGACTGGGTTACATTTGTAATTGTTCACAATCTGCCATTGGGAAAAAAAAATACCATGGCAGTCATAAAAATAAGTGAAATAAGAAAATAATAGCTGAAGATGATTTTATAGGCTGTGATTAAACAAGTTGTATTTGCTTGTTATTTTGTGGTATCTTCAATATTGCATTATAATGAGAATTTGGACGAAAAATCAAGTATGGATATCAAAATAACTGAGTCATATTTTACAGCTCCGTGTTCCGAACTGTAGTGAAATAATACTCGTTTAAAAAAAATCAGGTAACGGAAACGGAAATCACGAGGGTAAACAAATGTCTAGCTCGACTCTCTGTGCACGATGTTAACATGTGTAAAGAAGGTATTGTTTATGTTATACTAAAGCGACAAGACTGATATTTATAATTATCAATGTTCCGTTTTATGCAACTAATTAAGAAACTTTCTAACCCATATTTTGTTGTCTTTTACAACAAATATGAATTTAACCAATTGCGTTTTATGACAAAAATAGCTAACATCAGTGACGTTAATAAAATACGTAACATAGGTATTATTGCCCATATTGATGCTGGAAAAACAACTACTACAGAAAGAATGTTGTATTATTCCGGTTTTACACAATATATGGGTGAAGTCCACGAAGGTGATACGGTAATGGATTATATGGTTCAAGAACGAGAGAGGGGTATTACAATTACTTCCGCATCAATTACATTTAAATGGAATAAGCATAGAATAAATTTAATTGATACACCTGGTCATGTGGACTTTACATTTGAAGTCGAGCGTTCTCTTAGTGTATTAGATGGGGCAATTGTTATTTTAGATTCATCAGCAGGAGTTGAAGTTCAAACTGTGAAAGTTTGGGATCAAGCCCAAAGATACGAAGTACCATGTATTGTTTATTTGAACAAGATGGATAAACCGACTTCTGATATTGATTTGTGCTTGATGTCATTAGAGAAAAAACTTAAAGTGAAACCACTGCTACTGCATTTACCGGTGGGATTGGGAAAGAAATTTAAAGGTGTAGTTGACCTTATTTCAGAACAAAAATTCTTGTGGAACAATATGAATACTAAAAGTGATGGTCGTACTTTTGTTATTGAAAAATTGAATCTTGAAAGTGAGCAAGATTTATACTCATCAATGTTTCAGAAAAGGGAAATGCTAATCGAAAACATTGCTGATTTGGATGAGGTAACTGGAGAAAAATATATAACTGAAGGAGCTCAGGCTTTGTCTGTTCCAGAACTATACGCTGCCATACGCCGCATTACTTTAAACAAAGCTGCTGTGCCTGTGTTATGTGGTAGTTCATATAAAAATATAGCTGTTCAGTTGTTGATGGATGCTATTGTTAATTATCTTCCTAATCCTCTAGAAAGAAAGTGTAGTTTTTTGAAAAATGATGATGATTTTTCTGGAATTGTATTCAAAATCATTCATAATAAAAATAAAGAACCTTTAACATTTTTAAGAATATATTCAAATTCACTCAAAGCTGGTCAACGTATTTATAACAAAACTCGTCAAAGTGCAGAAAAGATTGGTAAATTAATGGTGGCTTTAGCCAATGACTTTCAAGAAGTGCCTTCATTATCTGCCGGTAATATAGCTGTAGTAACAGGTTTGAAAGAGACAATTACTGGTGATTTATTATTCTCTTCACCTTCTGCTGCAGCTGCAACTGGATCAGGAATGCCCTGCATTCAAATTCCAGATCCTGTATTTTTTTGTACTATTGAGCCACCATCAGTTGGAATGCAGAAACAGTTAGATTTTGCATTGCATTGTTTACAGCGAGAAGATCCTACATTTCGTGTTGAAGTAGATGAAACCATTGGGCAGACAATATTAATGGGAATGGGTGAACTGCACATTGACATTATAAAAGAAAGAATTCGAACAGAATATGATATTGATGCCTACTTGGGGCCATTGCAAGTTGCTTATAGAGAATCCATTGAAAAAGGTGTAGAGCATATGCATGTTTTGGACAAAACGGTCAGCGGAAATAAGCAATTTGCAAAAATCGTTTTAAGGATATATCCTTCTCAAAAAGAATCGCTAAAAGAAATTAAAGTGATAGTAACAAAAGATAATAATTTAGGTAAAATTAGATCAGATTTCTTAAAAGCAGTGAATGCTGGTATGAGAAATGCTCTCAGCAATGGGCCTATTTTAAATTTTCCTGTCCTTTATGTTGGTGTAGATCTTTTATGGTTAGAAGTAAGCAAAGGTACTTCTATGACAATGTTATCTGGAGCAACTTCTCAGTGTATTTCTGCTGCATTAAGGAAATCAAACGGGATACTTTTAGAACCTGTCATGAATTTATCGATAGTAATAAGTAAAGGTTTTGCTGGTAGAGTTTTAAATGACTTGTCTCAGAAACGAAGTCAAATACTAAATATGGAACTACGTCACGATGTGGAAATTATTCAGTCTCGAACTCCTTTATCAGAACTTCGAGGCTATTCTACACACCTCAGAGCTCTGACCTCAGGCATGTGTTCATTCACAATGGAATTTGATAGCTATCAGAAGATGGATGTAAATGAACAAGCAAGGGCTATTGGAAATATTACTGGTTTTTAAGCTAATATAAATCTGCTATTAAATATTTCCATGATTTTATACAGCAACATATTTTAGCAAATCTTCCTTGGTATAATTTATGCATGCTTTATACAAATTTGCTTTTTTTAAATTTTTAATAGGTGAGGATATTAATATGTATATATAAGCCAATGACTTTCTTAAAATTAATATATTTCAATTTTCATTTGTAATTCAATTCACTGAAATCTTGGACAAGATTGACTGTATTTTCAGCACCCTGCATAAATTTAACATATTAGTAATATGTTAAAATAAGTGACATATACTTTAGTTGATGCTTGTGAGAAAAATTTAACTGGGTCCTCTGAAAATTGTTGAAGTGGCTGCCAATATTGCCTATGCCTATAGCCAGAATTGATGTTAAATAGCTACCAGTCTTTGAATTATCATAATGACTGATAATGGCATTTTCTATCACAAAGTTATAAGCTGTGGCTAATAAAGGTCCACTTTTTGCATCATTGGTAATATAATATAAAAAAAAAAATCAGTTATAGAATTGAAAACAGATTACATTGCATCTCCGTAGTTTGTGTAATATTGTGTACGATTGTATAATATTTAAAGTAATCTCTAGCTATAACATAATAAATATTAGATACCTTTAAGACTTATTGTACCTTTATAGCTTCATTTTGCTTTTTACTGTCATGTGTAAACAAATTCTATTAAGTACATTTTGAATCAGTTATTTAAAAAAAATAATTTATTTTAAAAATTTATTTTTTTATTTAAAAAAATTATTATTATTAGGCTACTGAAATTGCACTGGTGTATTTAATTATGGCAAAGCACACTAGGGCTATCTGCCTAAGGGGAGGGAAGCCTGCGTGGAGGACTTTCTAAGGGAAACTGGCTCGTATACACTTTACTCATGGGGAAAACACCCATGCAGCCAGCCCGTTCGCGGAATTCGAACCTCGAACCAAACTGCCAGTGTTCAGCGACTTTACGGCTCGGCCTCTGGTGGGCCGAAATTGCACTGTAATTTTATAATGGAACATTTTTTTAGTATTTTTTAGTACTGTGCTGTATTCTTTAAAATGTATTTCAGTCTTGTATTCTGAATATAGTGATTAAACAATAATTTTTTTATTTATAAATATGTGACTACTTAAATTTATAATTCTTTCCTCCCTCCGACTAATTTTCATTAATAGTTTATGGATATTAGTAATTGCTGATTAAAAGGGTTAGAAACGTTGATTCTTCTATATTCCACAAAAGAGGAATACATTTGTCACAGTAGAATTTTAATTATTGAAATGAATGTATATCAAATATAGCTTGCATTTCACTTCAGTCTGGTTTCAGTTTTCTTGCAGTATTTAAAATAATTAGCTTTGAACGATACCCTCATCATATGTGTTCAATAAGTGTCACTGCAGTACAGAAACATTGTACCAAACTAAGTTCTGAAGAAAACATATTACATTTTTTAATTTAATTCTTAAAAATAAGTAGTTAATATGAATTAAATATTATAAAGAATGTGATAGTTGTTAATCATTACAGGAATAGCTTTTATTTGTACTAGTTTTTCCTTGATAGGTCTTTGTTGGGAGATTTTTTAAGGAAAAACTGATTCACAATACAGTATTGTACTAGTTTTTACTTAGTAGGTCTTTGTTGGGATACTTTTTAAGGAAAAACTGATTCATAATACAGGGAGGGGGAGAAGAATTAAAAAATTGTTTCTTAAGTCTAGTTTTCATCTGACATTTCTGTGAAATTACTTAGTACATAAAAACTAAAAGAATTGATCATGTAAGCTATATTTTATGGCACTTTTTTTTTTTTTTTTTTTTCTTTTTTCTTTTTTCAATGTTATTACAGGTAAAGCTCCATTAGCAGGCAGTTTCTCAGTACAAGACCTCTAGTACTATCCTATTTAATGGCTACTCCCTAATAGTGGACAAAAGTGTTGGTTTCATGAAGTTCAGTAGTAAGAGGCTGAGCATATATACTATTATACTGTTTTTTTATCAAAACTTATAATATCTTTTCTTAAAAAGCTATGAATAGTTTCATTTTTATTTTAATACTTTCCTTTTTCTTCCCCCCCCCCCCACCTATAGCTTACAAATAGCAGGAATAAAATTATTTTTTTGCAGTAAAACATTCAGTAACAATTTTCATATTTTCAGTGGTTTTTTTTTTTTTTTTTTTTTTTTTTTTTTTTTTTGTGTGTGTGTGTGTGTATGTGTGTGTGAAATTTAACAATGTTTTATTACATTTCCTGATAATCTTCAAGGTATAAGAATACTTTACACTTCCTTCAGTGATATAAAATCTAATCATTTCCATTTATGCTTGTCCAATGTATATATTACGCTATGATTATCTCACTCATGAGACATTAACATCAGATCAAATCCATAAATTTATTCATGGTCAAGAGACAAAGATTGCACTTGTCCTTAGGTCTTGATCAGTGGTCTTCCAAGTGGAGTATGCATACCCCAGAGGTTATGCAAAGTGATACCAAAGTAAGTAAGTGAGTAAAGAAGTAAGTTCACAATCACTTGCAAATGTATCATTGTGCATTACATGAGTGCAGATCTAACCAAATGGAATTTTATGATTTGGTTCTTTATACCTGTGTGAGGTAGCATTTCTTGCAATAACAACAATTTAAACCAAACAGAGGAATAAATTAGATCCAGAACCAGATCTTCAAGTTTCATTGACAGGGGGCATCAAACCAGATTTTTCTGATATTACTGAGCAAGTACAATACACTGTTCACATTTAAAATGTAAATATGTAATTTAATTGAAATGTATGAAAATTGTTTAAAATAAATAAATAATAAATTATTTAATTTTTGGCTACATACACACGCACAATGTGTGTACATATAGTATATTTAATATAAATCTGGAATCAAAAAATGAAAATTAGGGCATTTAAAACTAAGCTGAAGCGCAAAAGTGTACTGTTCTATTATCAGGACCAGATTCAGAAATGTATGTATATCTTCGTGTTTGCATGTATATATGCAAGTTCAATTGTATGTGTGTGTATATATACAGAGTGTCCCATAAATGTTGCGACAAACTTTCTGGGGGAGGTAGGGCACATCATAAGGATTAGGAACAATAGCGTAAATAAGGGTATGCAAGGAATGCCATCTCATAGGAGCCCGAAGGTTTAGGGGGCCCTTGCGTGTCTTACTAAACTACATTTACATACTTAAAACATGGATTCTGTTATCTATCAACACATACATAATAGAATCCTTCTTCTTTTCAGTTTTTAAGGCCCTCCCTAATATATGACACAAATAGGGGGACCTTGGAAGCAGATGAAACAGCTATATACAGAAATACAGACACCCAAATTTCACCTGAAGGAAAACAAAAAGGCTGCATGCTTTCGTTTTGATTCCTCTCTAGAGGGCAGCTTTCAAGATATTAGTAATACCTGAGGCCAGGATGTTGCTAGTCTGTTGTGAGAACAAGTTCTAAATTTCTTTAGATGGGCATATGCAAGATGCAGTTCAAGGTGTAAGAGAGCTACGTAAATATTTCAAAATTCTTCAAAATATTTACGTGCATTCCGGAGAAAGTTTAAAAAGACGGAGTTTACTTTCTTCGGGAGACTCTGATACTACTCTCAAAATTCTAAATCTTACAAGGTGGGCTGGACGATTATCATGTTTGTTAGCAATTAAACTAAGATACTTTGACATCTTAAAAACAATAAATTAAGTTATATTAAAGTCAAAGAAAGCACGAAGAAAAGCCATTGTAAATGGGTTAAAAAAATGGAGGCTTTTAAATTTTTATTCTTAACAGTTTTACAGTGGATGAACAAAAATATGGAAACACCTTGTGAAATGCACGTTTGAAAAGAGAGATTGATTTTAATAAAATATGTAGGTGGCGCTGGCGTTTTTGACTACTGACGCCACCTATACAACTTCGTAAATGTGCTAAACAGTTCAGTTGTTTGTCGGAGTACTGTTATGTGAGGTTGTCATTGCATTATGTCAGAGTTAACAGACTTCGAACGTGGGCAAATTGTTGGAGCACGTATGGTAGGTGCTTCCATAAGCAAGGTAGCCGAGGTGTTTAGTGTTTCAAGAGGTACTGTATCGAAGATTTATTTCCGCATATTTGAAAAGCGGAAAAAACATCATCTGCTAAATCACAGCGCGGACGAAGGTGTGTCCTGAGTGATCGTGACAGACGATCATTAAGGGCAATTGTTACGAAAAATAAGAAGACCACAGCTGCAAAAGTTACTGCTGAAATGAATGTTGTGTTACCGAACCCTGTGAGTACCAAAACAATTAGAAGGGAGCTTCATAAACAGAGAATTGCTGGTCGTGCTGCAATTGAGAAGCCACTCATCAGTGATGCTAATGCCCGTAACAGGAAAAGGTAGTGTTTAAGTCATAAAGCCTGGACTATAGAGCAGTGGAAGCGAGTAATATGGTCTGACGAGTCTTCTTTCACATTGTTTCCCACTTCTGACCGAGTTTACGTCTGGAGAACGTCATCTCAAGCTTATAATACAGACTGCTTGTTGCCAAGAGTGAAACATGGCGGGGGTTCTGCTATGGTTTGGGCAGCCATATCGTGGTTCTCTGCTAGCCCCATGATAACTGTGTCAGGGCACATGACTGCCAAGACTTATGTGAACATTTTGGCCGATCAAGTTCATCCCATGGTACAAACTTTGTTCCCCGATGGTGATGGTGTCTTCCAAGACGACAAAGCCCCCTGTTCACACAGCTCACATTGTCCAGGACTGGTTTTCTGAGCACGAGGATGAGTTGTCCCATCTCCCCTGGCCACCACAGTCACCAGACCTGAATATTATCGAACCTTTTTGGTCTACATTGGAACGGAAAGTGCGTTCTCGTTATCCACCGCCAACATCGTTTATCTGAACTTGCCACCGTTTTGCAGGAAGAATGGTATAATATTCCCTTGGCAAACATACAGGAACTGTATTTATCCATTCCGAGAATACTACAAGCTGTTTTGGATGCCAACGGGTTTCCTACACCATATTAAGCAAAGAAACATGTTTTTTTAAAGGTGTTTCCATATTTTTGTCCAACCCCTGTATCTTTTACTGATGCAGCGTCTCAAGTATTACAAAGAAAATCAATCTTATAAATATTTAAAAGCTGTTTCTATCAGTATGCGAAATATGAGAAACAAGTTTGAATATATTCTGAAAGAAGCTGAGTTTGTTGCAAATAAATGGAGCATAGGAATTAAATTTTAAAATGAAAAAAAAAAATTAAGTCATTTTTTTTTTTTTTTTTTTTTTTTTTTTTAAATGTGAGGATAACAGGTTTGAAAATTCCGAAATATCTTTTAAAGTAACTGTTTTTTTATGCTGCGGTCTCTATTTTAAATACTCAGTTAACATATAGAATGATTGAAATGATAAAAATCGCAATAACATTTTCCTTTTTTGGACCTAAAATTCTGTCATCATTAACAAATGTGGAAATTATTAATAATATTTCAAAAATACAGAAAGCATATAAAGGACACTACTAATGCACTGGAAGTAAGCTGCTGTGATTTATAAATACTTTCAGATCAGAAATCCATTAAGGATTTAGTTAAATTAGCAGTGGTAAAATA